ATCTGAGCATTTTTGATGAAATTTGGTAAAATAATGAGGCTTCAGTATTGTTTGATTCAGAAGCTTTTCTCTGTCCTTTCAGATCACCTGCCCAACTGGATGTACTGTATAAAACTTTGACACAGTTCATCTGGTTTGGGACGTATTCACATTACAGAGGAAAAACAAGGGGCTTGTGCAGTATTTACCCCTCCAGCCCTCCCGGGGGCGCTGCTTTAAACATCGCGACTTTAGTTACAGTGCTAACGTTGTTAGCTATGTTTCAGAAGCTCTAACGGGGTTTTTGTTACAAAGCTGGTGGCCACATCTAGCTGTTGGTATTTCCACACCCCGATATTGTCCGGTTTTGATACGAGGCCAGTTTGTTAGTGTGCACTTCAGTCAGAGACAGTCAGATTCAGTCATCTATAGAAAATGGTTAAACAGTTAGATTTGGAAAAAAAAGGGGTGCCTTTAAAGAGCTGGTATGATGGAAAACAAAGTGTGCTTTGAGTTGGATTAGGGTGACAGCAGAGGTCAAATTACTAAACTCTGTCTGTGATTTTCTTTAAAGATATTCCAAATTTTGAATGTTCCACCCCAAGCAGTTTTGGAACTATGCCAATTGTGACATCACACCCAAAGGTGAACTCAGATACAAGAGGATAAGCCCACCACCTGCTCAGAGCTACGCTGAGATTGTTACTCAGCTAAATGAAAATAGCTGTGCTAAAGCCTTATAAGCTAGCTGTCGCCAGCTACATTGGAAAAAAGAAGACTGTTACTGTGTTAGGAAACTTAAACATGATCCTACCATTCTGAAACCTCCAGGTTCCAGTCTGCAACAGCAGGTTCCTCTCCAGCTGCAGCCATTAGCAGTCAAAAGCACACCTGACTTCTTCAGTGGGTTCAATTCTGATTGGCTGGGGCAGGACATGAGTTGTTGCCTCCAGCCAATCAGAGTAAGTGCTCATGAATAATGTAAATTTTACCACAACTTCTGAAACAGCTGCTAGAGGGCAGAAGGGAATCTGGGCTGTTTGTAAAGAAGTCTAAACAACTTTGAATGAATAAAATGTAACAGATATGTTTACCCTACTGTCATATTTATAAAAATGAGTTATAAATAGTGTTGGGCTCTAACACCTTACTGTAATAATATCACTTTCCCCAGTAATAAGTAGTGTAAAAGGTTACAAATAAAATTTTAGTAATAATATTACAGCTACTCCCTCCAAAAATGACTTGTTACAACATTACTTTTGTTGTAACCACTGCAAAGATTGATTTGAAATCCGACATTTAAGATTTGTAGCAGTGCACACGTCACTACACGTCATTTAGCAGCACCATAAGCAGTAAGCTAGCTTGGAAGATGGAAGTGGCTACATTCAGTGGCTGGAAATACTTTGATTTTATCATGACGAAAGGTGACAGGAACATTATTGTAAAATTTAAATTGTGTAAGAGTCTTTCCACTTGAAGAACATGACCTGAAACCTCTTGAAACACTTATTAAGACAGCACATTGTGAAGCTTGTGGAGATACACCCCAATAAAGATGAGCCCTCTGTGGCTGCAGAGGACAGCTGTAGCCCTTCAATGGCTCAACAACCAAACTGGATTTTAATCAACAAGCTACAAAAAGCAACAAAGAACTAATGAAGCTTGTGGCTTTTTATGTGGTGGATGAAATGTTGCCCATTTCCACTATTATCTCTCCGTCTTTCAGATGAAAAATACCGGTCTGGGACACCACCGGACCCCCAGATATCTGTGGAGTGTAATGGAAAAGTCATACGAGTAGTGTAACAATTTGGCAGGGTGTAATAAGTAGTAATATTTGTAAAATATGACATTTTTGAGTAACAAGCCCAATGCTGGTTATAAATGGCCATAATACTCATGTCTTCAACAAATCTGAGTAGTGATGAGGATTCTTCTGAGTTAATCCCCCTTAATAAACATGAACATTAAATCTTTGTTCAATTAACAACATGACGTTCACTACAAGATGCACGATGGGCTTGGTGGAGGGAGCTGTTTGTTAAAAACACTTGACTCCCTGCAATTGCATTGACTGCTAGACAGTATTGTAGGTAAGACCATGGAGTGCAAGACCCTCGTTTTTCTGCAATAATGTGAATATGCCGTAGGGCAGCATCTTTCCCCAAGAACAAGAATGTGAAACTGAAGCAACTGTTTCTTTACAGAAATACAAATGTTCTTTTGTCTAAGCCTTGTTTTAAGGATTGTTTTAGTTTTGGATCATCTCCTTCAGATGTACGAGTGAAGAGCAATTTCTGTTGTGAATTTTTATGTTGTCTTATTTTCCCTCCTGATAACAGAACAACCAAAGTCTAATGGAAATTCATCTGCACAGACCCCTGGTTTGCTCAGTGGTGTATTTTATGAAGAGCACAGTGATGTGTGTACAGTGTATACTTGTATGTTGTTAAATCATACCATATCATAATCCGACCTGTGTTTACTTGTGGCAGTTACACATCTCACATTTTGAGTTTCCACTGAGTTCAAAATAAGTGGTGAATTATCCTGCGTGCACTGACCAATGACCACAGAAGATTACACTCAATGACAAAACAACACTTTATGTACAAAAGACAATGTAAATAAAGTGTTTCTTTTTTTGTCACTGACATCATTTTAAGGATTTTTAGAATTCTACTCAAACATCCCTAAACAAAACCACTGAGTAATGGTGAATGAAATAAATAGGCTACATGTGTCATCACTGGGAGAAACAGGTCCGTCTCTGTTGGTTCCCACCACAGACTGTATATAAAGATGTACAACATGACAGCTCCCAGAAATGAAGCCACTGTGACATGAACCAAACTAAAACCTAAAAGTACAAATCAAAAAAAATTCAGAGGTGATTTTTGTGGTTATTGGTGGATATTATCACACTGGTTTGTGGACAAGTGGTCATTTTTCTGGTAAGGTTTTTTGAATAAGTTATTTGATGATATAAAAGCGGGTGTATTTCAGATAATTTGATAGCTTTGATTGGACTGATGTTGTCGTTCCACTTCTTGTCACTACTGCAAAGAATCTGGCTGCAAAATACATCGGCCATATTTGCAATATTTTGGCTTCACATCTGCAGAGTGAGGGAAGTGGTGATGCGTTGTCCATCTTTACATACAGTCCATGGTCCCCACTCATAGTTAAAAAAAAACACTGGTGCGCTTCAGGGAACAGGTGAATCTGCATGTTATTAGTATGTGTCGCTGTAAAGGTCCGATGCCTTGATGCTGTACATACTGAGGAGCTGTATACTGTATGTAATGATAATGCTGGTTTTTAAGTATGATTTTGTTAAAGTGACCAATAAACTTTGTTTTGCTGTTGTTTGTAACCCAGTGTCCTGATCTGTCTGACTGCTGTCTGGACATTTCCGTCTTAAACATCAGCTAAATATCATGATCAGCAGCTGAGGACAGGCGCCGTGACTGCAGATCGGCCTGGTGCTCGGGGAAACATCCAGTCAGGGACGCTGCAGGTGCAGGTCATGTGTTTTTGGGAGGCAGTCCTTTTGCAAAAAAAAAAAAACATCTCTGTATAAGTAGCTTCTTACAACTCATGGTTATATTTTATTGTTAGGTCACCTAGTGGCCATCGTAACCGCCCCTCGCTCCTCAATCCTCCCTCGACCCAGAAGTCATTCCGGTCTGCCATCTTGAAGGATGTCCCAAAGCTACTATTCCTGCGGGGACGCTGCCTGGTGAAGCCATTCCATTCCAACTTTATTTACAAAGCACTAAAAACAACCAAGGTGGACCAAAGTGCTGTACAGTGTAAATAACAATATACATTAAAAATAAACACAACTTACAACTACAGATAAAATCAACACCAATATAAAATATCAAAACAACTAAAGCCAAGAGTGAGGATACACAAGACCGTCCTTTGTGGAAGTTGTTTATGGACTGACACGCCCCTTTTTCAGAAATCAGTATATGATTGGACACTTCAGAAGACAGGTCAGAGGAAAGGACGCCACGTCTGTAAAAATGTGTTTCCTTGATTCCTCTGTCCTTGTGTCTTTTGCTTGCATCCTTCCTGGTGTCTTTGGTGGGTGGGACTAAGACAAGTGAGGGAAACATGGATGCACATAAGGGAACTGAGACACCCTATGACAGGAGCAGAGGAGGAAGCTGGATGACATCATACGGAGTGACAGTCTGCGCTAGGACGTTGGTGTGGGCGGGTGTGTCAACGAAGCAAAGGGCTTTTACACAGTGAGCTGCTTTTGTTTCAGACCATGTTAAAACTATTCCTGGCTCACACTGTCTACTCCTCTGACTAACCTGAGTGGGAGCCTCGCTGGGACCGAAGCGCCGACTACCTGTGGTGTCTGCTTCTATTTTCAGCATTTCCCTGGGTCAAATAATGAGCATGAGAAATGGCCGACTGAAACCTGACCGCAGGAGGAGTAACATCACGTTGAGCTGTAACTAATGAGCAGACAGATATAAAAAAAAAACAGTAAGAAAGAGAGAGACTGTAATGAGGGGGAGACAGGAAAAATGTTGTAATAAACAGTTGAGGGCAGAGGTCATGTACTGTATATGAGACATTTTTTGAGAAACAGATGGCTAAAGAAAATGTAACTCGAGACCTTTTTGTGAAGAAGAGAACAGGAGAACAAAAGAAAAATGTAGAGAATTAAGGCAGAGGTCAGAGAGAGAGCCAAGGGACAGAAGAAATGGAGAGATCACAACAGAACACAAGGAAGGACAGGAAGTGACATTAAAAAGGGAAGAAAGTAACTGAAGACAGGAAGACAAAGGACAGGACAATCAGACGAGATAAAGACAATGAGAAGAGAGGACACAACTGAAAGTGTGGAAGAAGGAGAGACAAAGAGGAAGATGAAAAGAAACTGAGATGGAGAAAAAAATGAGCAAACATAAATGGAAGAGAAGGACAGAAAATACAAGACAGGGAGGAAGAAGAAAGATCTACAAACAGTAACAACACAGACGAGAATGGAAATTCTGTGATTTTTATTTATGCATTTGGCACAAGATAATCAGCCATCGAACCAAGAAGCAGTTTTTATGCTTTTCTAACATGTCCACAAAATGCACTTCAAGATGTCCTATTTTATGAGGAACGTACACCTACAAGCAGCAGTTTAACAGGATGACAGGAATCTAAACAGTGCTACTATTTCTTTGTAAGGAGAGGTTCAACACGCCAGATGCTGCTTCAGCATCAAAGGAGCGAACAAAACTGAACAGTGACAAACAGAAGCTGTGACCCTTCCAGTAGATTACAGCCCTGCAGGTTGTCACAACATGTGTTTCAAAACAGTAAAGCTTACAAATGTCCAGATATTCACATGCTGTTCTGACGACACCAGTGTATGAGTTAGTGCATCAGTCTGTTTATTCTAGTGTGTGGGTTTCTCCATCTTGTTTTAAACTTAGTCAAAACAGTCTCCTTCTAATGTCGGTTTAACGTCAGAAACTTCTCTTTTTTTTTTAAAACTGAATGACTGACATTGATTTGCTGATGTCTATTTAAGACCAATGTCAAATCAACAGAAAGGAACTCCTACACAAGTTATATACATGAGCGTTACATTAGTTAACGACAGAAATGAACGATTAGAAAACAAAGCCTCTGTTATGGAGCCACTAAAGTGGATGAACCTTCGAAGAGGTGAGAAGAAGAATGACGAGGAGAACCTTCCCCTGGCTGCTGATGTCGCTGTGTGGAGAAAGGCAGCAAAGACTGCTGGGTACTACATGAACATGTCGTCGAAGCCGGGCGGGGGCATGTGGTCTGGGTCCGGCCTAAAAACACAGACAGTGTTTGCATTATTGTGTTGTTTTCATTCATCTTTTCTGTCCTCCAGGGATTTTCTTCTCACTGTTTCCGAGGATAAACCAGCACCTGAACTGGGACTCTGTAAACCTTTGGGACAAGTATCCCATTAGACACATTGGATAAGATCCTTGCAACCTCATTTCAGCAGAGCTATGGTGTTTTCCACCAGCACGGGTCAGCCCTGCTGAGCTGAGGCGTGTGAGGAGGAGCCATGCCGAGCTGCTCCCGAGTCAGCAGGATTGTGTTTCCACTGTACCCCCCCAAATCAGAAAAAGTTGAGACGGTATGTAAAATCTAAATTATCTGTGTCCTGTTTTACATAGAAAATAACACAGCAGCACATTATTTGATGTGATTATTTGAATCATTGTGATCAGACAACTGAATCATTGAAATGTCTGCGCTTCTGGGGGGGGCTCCCTGAACCAGCGCACCATAAGAGGGTGAGGGCAACAAGGGCTGTCCCATCTGGTCTGAAGTGACAGGAAGATGACTGGGCACGAGAGTGGTGAAAAAACGTGAACGTGTGTGAGTTTGTGTCTCACCCGGGTCTGTGTCGTCCGATGGGTCCAAACGGATCGAAGCGAGCTCCCGGGGGAACGGCTCCAGGAGGCAGAATGTCTGGTATGCCGCTCGATGGGTCAAAACCAGAGCGAGGATACCCTGACCTCAACGGGTCAACTATCATCCCCCCACCGCCACGAGACCTGAGAACAGGGAGGCAGAAAAGAGTGAAGGAAAGGGAGGACACATGGGATGGAAACGTGTATTTGATCCTTTCTTTCACGTTTGCTTCAGTGTCATGACAATTTTAATTTAAAATGTTCAAACCAGTGAAAAATCAAGTAGAAACAGGTGGTTTAAGTTGATGCAAACCTCTGCAATAGTTTTTATTTGTGTCTGTCTGAAGATGTGCCATGATTTTAATGGGTGTCACGGGGGCCAAGGTCCTCCTGATGTTAAGTGGTTGTTTGGAGGTTGTTGGCCACTTTTCAACAAGCAGTCTAATTTAACCCTGACCTGTGTCTTTGTGCAGGACACTTCACTGTGTAGGATCAATAAACAAGCTGGTGTTGATGTAAAACTGATGTAGAGACTGAACAGACTCGTGATGTGCTGCTCCACTGCTTCGGTTTGTATTTTCTCTCCATTGCGTCCTGACACTGTGATATTTGTGATTAGAGCTTCACGTTTATCTGACAGAATCTGGACAAATGCCAGTAATCCACTGCTGTTTGTTTGCTGCTGTGCTGACTGACTGTTCATCCCCAAATCCCAGATTAGAACACAACTGCACTGAAGATTTCCATAAGAATGATGTGGTGGACGTACTATGAAGGAAAGAGACAAACTCACCCGAAGGGATCTAGATCTGCTCCTCCAGCTGCAAATGGAGGAACCAGGGGATTGGGGCTGAAACACATAGACAGTCATTTATTTAAACAGCTTTATCAAGTAAAATCACTGCTTTTCAAATGTGAGGATTTGCTAATTTTCTCTATTTTATACATTTTCAACTGAATATCTTCAGGTTCTGATTGTTGGTCTGACAAAACAAGCAATTTACAAGCATAATCCTGGGCTTTGTAGTTTTTAAGTAAAAATAACTCTCCTTTGGCTCTAAATAATAAAAATGATCATTAGTTGCAGCCCTAGTCTGGTTGCACATTTGCATCCTCTCAGTAAATTTCCAATGCGAATATCAGAAGATGAAGAAATGAAATATTTGTAGAACTTCATTTTCATTTTGACCTCCTCCTCTGTTTCCCACACTTTCTACAGCCCTGGCAGTTTTTATTTCTTGTTCCCTCATCTTTTACCTGCTTCTCATTTTCTTTACCTCTAAGATTGAGTTTGCTTTCTCTCTATCTATCTCCCTCTCTCCGGGGATGAGGAGGTGACAGCAGTGAGATTGATAAAGTGCTGACATCACCTTACATCTCATCTGATCAGGTCACAGCGAAGAGGACAAGTGAGGAAGGATGGGAGAGAGGAACAGAGGCGGGGGAGGGAGATGAGGAGTGACTGAATCTGTCCTAAAGCTGCTCCTCTCTCACACACAGTTGTGTTACACTGACTTCTACAAGGCCTGAAAATAATCGCTGTCCACATCAGTGTTTCCAGGTGAAAGCTCAGCATGAAAACAGTTGAATCTCTTCTTCACGGCCAGCACGGGCCGTGAGAAGGCCATATAACAACCATTTCACCAAATCAGGTTAATGACAACAGCAGTGTTGTGTCATCGTCTAAATGACATGATTATTAAAAACATTATGGATGACAGAAAGTACTTTTCATAACTGCTGCCACACTGTGTGCACAGCTACAGATACAGTCGGTTTCAACCAGTTTCCTCCTGTCACGGTTCACTTATCATTTACAAACCTTTCTGTGTCTGTTGTCAGAACTGTGACACTGCTCCTGCCACTAGTCATTCCCTCTGCATGATTAAAATTCTTGTTTTATAATCATGATGTCATTTGACAAAATCTAAATAAATCCAGCTAAATGACAACAGCTCTGCTGCTCAACGTTTTGCAAAAGCTCCATTTCCCCTGTACACACTGAAACACCAGGTTTGTCTTGCACACCGATGGCGGAAGCTCAGTTGTAGGGGGAGAAAAACAGTTTTAGTCTGGACAGAGGATTGAAACAGAGAGAAAAGAATCTGGTTTTTGTCGAGTCCCCCAGTGAGACTCAGTAAACAGATTTATGTCCCCACAACACAAATGAATAATACAAGCACACACATATGTACCTCTATTTTGTGAGGACAATTCCCAATCCGAACCTTAAGCACCACAACTAAATGTCTAACATCCAACCCTAAACCTAAATCCAAATCTTGACCCTCAAACAGCCCGTTTAAGGTCTGAGGACCAGACAATGTCCTCACTCCCATGGTCTAAGACACCAAGTAGTCCTCACAAAGTGGTATCTTCTCTTTCAGCCAACACTTCCTCTGTAAACACTGAATCAAGGATACTGCAGTGCCCCCCCACCCACACACACACTGCCAGAGCTCTGCCCTCTTTAACTCTCAGCTGTAGTCAAATAACCATCTAGCCTGTCTACACAAACACAAGCTCAGCACATCCAGAGCTGCTTGCTTTTGTGTGTGTGTGTGTGTGTGTGTGTGTGAGATGATGGTTGTGTTAGGCTGACTAATAAACTGCCTGCTGAGTCTATGTCCCTGCTTCCTGTTATTACCAACCAGTGTGGTCGGTGAGGATGTCTGCTGGGGATGCGGAGGGGGTCGCTGTCCTCTCCTCTTCTTCTCTGCTCCTCCTCCTCCTCCTCTCTTTGACTCTTTTTCTCTGGCCTCTGTCCTGAAGGTCTGTCCTGAGCAGGCAGCAGCTGATTCTTCACCTTCTCTGAAAAGCTGTTAGTGTCCTTGAACACCCTGAAAAAGAGAAGAAAAACAAAACAAATGATCTTACCTCTTATCATAATGTACCAACTAAAACTGGCTAAACATCTATTAATTATTTCTGCTGCATGAGCTCTGACTACGACTAGAGGGAGAGAACAAACATACATGGTCTTCCACCAATAGTGTTTATCAAAAATGCTTTTAATGTATGAACCAGACAGGCCTCTCAGACGCTCTGATTGTTCTCTACTAGCGTCTCCAAAAAGTGAAAATACTGATAGTCTACTTGTAAAAGTAGGCCTGTAAAACTAAAAGTCCGTCTCTGAAGCCTGGCTTTTATATAGTGTCTGACTTGAATAAAGTTTATTTTACTGATTTATTGTTATAAAGCTTTTTATTTCTTGATTTAATCCATTTTTGAATTGTATTTGACCTGTATGAAAGTTGTTGTATAAAGTTTGATCAACTGATCTTTTTGTGTCTCATTTTGTACAGTTGAATCTACAGGCGTCCTGAACTTTGTGACAGAGGGTGACGGAGTGCTCATTAAAGCACCGAACTGACATGAACTGCTGTTCTGACATGAACCATCTGATACTTCCAGGTTTCCCAGAAGCTCTATATCTGACGTGAGCATTTAGTTATTTAAGTGGTGATAGTGCCAAAACGTCAGCTTATGGAATAAACTCTGCGCTGCTCAGTTGTCAACATTCTCCTGCCTCTTTCAATGTATTTACTCTGGCACCTCCCAGTGGACTGACTGAACATCCATAGACAGCCAATCTGCTTGTGTGGATTAAAGACAAGACACTGGTACAAAGGATCTGTTTACTTTTGAATAAAAGATGTTATGGTCTCTATAAATTCTGGACATGGTGACTTTAAAATAAAATTAATTCTACTCTTCAATACATTCACTTTGCAGCAGACCATCTTTGCCAGGTTTGTCTGAAGGAAGCACAGACCACTCCATACTAATGTGACTCACTGACAACGGTCATCAGGAAGTTTAATGGAAGCTTTATTTTTTACAGTGGCTTTGAAACGAGTTCCTGAACTATTATGAAATAATTATTAATCATACACCAACCTGTCAAATGTGTGCAACTGCTCAGCATCCACGTAATCGCTGATATTCACTGTCAAGTCTGAAACCTGCTGTGTGCTGGAGTTCTTCACACAAAAGACACAGAAACAAGTAAAAAAAAGATCAATGCATCTTATAACTGTGCTCCTTAAAATATACACAACCTAGGAGCCATTTCCACATATATTCAACATTTGAGAGGAAGTTATGGATGTGTGTGGACTATTAGGTGCTTCCCTACAAGGATCATGTAGTGAGGAGGCATCTTCTGTTGGGCTGCGTTTACATCACAGGCCTTAATTCCTATTTATTTGTGTTGACACTTCACATCCATGTGTGTCAGTGGCATGTACCCAGCTCTGGTGTGAACACCGCTGAGCTCCTAAGCTGCCACACATGGACAGATGTAACTGAAACATGAGCAACGTGCATACAAGAATAACAACCATGTCATGTGTGTGATAGTCAAATCGCACAGTTTCCTCCAAAACTGCTAGGTTACGACATGTTTCTTCTAGTTTGGCCTGACCAGAAGTTTCTCCAGAAATGTTCTGGTCTCTCCACTGACCCCAGCACTGTTGTCACTTTCCTCCATGTTTATTGTTACCGGTCTGTGAGGGGCCGATACCGAATGACAACGGCAGAGAAGGAGATGTTAAAACAAGCACATGGATTCTGATCTGACAGCGCTTGCACAGTGAGAGGTCGGATAGCAATCTGATCTAGGAGCACATATGCAGGTGGCCCAGATCTGATCTGAGAACATCTGGTTTGATTTGTTTACACTTCTGTGGAAACATCACATGGAGGAAAAACATCAGATTGGGAGAATTCAGCTGTGATGTGAACGTAGCTTGTAAATTGATGGAGTTCACACTGAGCACATTTGAATCAAGAGATTTCCCTATGTGTCTATCAGCTGCTCCTACCATCAGGTTAAAGATCAAGGTGGAGTCGACGGTGATGCCCTTGAGCAGTAACTGGGTATCACTGTCTTTGGCTTTATATCTCAGACTGTACAGCTCCTTGTTGCTGCTCCAATCAGCAGGCAGCAGCTCTGACTTCTTATCACTGCTGCGGGGCTGGAGGTGGGAACGAGAGGGAGACAGACGTAGAAAAAGAATCAGGGATAACATATTAACAATCTGACAAAAGTTTAAAATCCATGCAGTGTTTTCAGACTGACTGGTTCCGGGTGGCACAGCACCAGGTTAGCTAGCTAAAGATGACATGACAGTTTTTAGAGTTCGTCGTCCTATCACTATTTTAATACAGCTGGTAGTTCATTCTGCATCAAACACGACAGTTGACTAAACGTTTCCCAAACTAACATTACTAGCACTTGCCAGACAATGTAAGTTATGGACAGGTGATAATGCGCAGGAAGCTAACGCTAAGTTGACCAGGCGGCCAGTTAGCGAGTACGGATTTCCGTTAGAAACGTTGACGGTTTCATTTCTTTCTCAACAGCACAGGTCGACATCTTGGTTAAAACACACCAACATTCTCTGCGTGAATAGTGTAAAGCTACTTTTCTGTTCGGTGTATGACTAACTGACAAAACAGCAGGCATTTTGATGAAACTCGAGTTCATTTTTTCCTAATACCCACCTCGTCTCCAGACCCGATACACCTGTATCCGCTCTTTATCATTTCCCAGTGAACGAAACACATTACGGCGTCCTGTGGACACGTAATGCCGCCAGCGACACTGGTGTATAACACCTCTAAGCCTGCCATGTTTCTCTTACTAAAACCTAGAAACCATAAATTAGGTTTTGATCAAAGAAATGAAAACGAAAGTCTGAGCTGATTAAAGCCAACAAATTCACTTTCCAGCAACAGCAACCACTTCCTGCCTTTCGACGTAAAAGCACAGTTTAAAGTTTAACGACTGAGGTAAGAGAAAATACTGACACCAATAACCAATAACTACCAACTGTCAGGTAAGAGAAAACACTGACACCAATAACCAATAACTACCAACTGTCAAACGATTAAAATAGTGTAAAAAAAAACACACCATACGATAAGATAACGCATACAAACAACATGAACAATCCTACCCCAAACTTACGAGTTTTTAATAATGAGAATATCAAACTGTTTTCAATATTTAGTTTTAGATATCTTAGCTCTGTGCTGTTAATCCAACTGTTAGAAGTCAAATTATAATAACAGAATAACAACAACAACAGTCATAATCATGGTCATACCCATAATGTAAGCATGTTTTTTAAACATTCACAACAGTAGGTTGACCAATAAAGTCATGACATTCTGAAGGCAACCTTTTTATAAACCCGTCTATAAAGCTGTAATTAACGGCTGTAATGATGGTTAAAAATCATTATCATCATTATAAGACAACTTGGGGTTCCCCTGATGTAGAAAATCCTCATCTACCATTATTATATTACGTGCAATTACGTTCTTTTGCAAACCTGTATTTAACCAATACACTGCATACTGATTAAACAACACAGGACATATTTCAAAAACACATTCTGATAACAAAGTGAAAACAAATAGACATCATATTGTCTTCATATTGTCTCCGGTGTCTCATAATATATTCCTGATGAATTCGCCATATATTTCTAAATGTGCCAATCCCTAAAAATATACCGGTTTTGATTTCAGTGACTAAACACCGCAAAACTGGTGTTTACCGTGTCTTCGTCTTCTTTATATGGTGTTTATTGGCGGTTTGCAGGTGCTTACTGTGTCTAACTTTACAGAGCTTTTTCAAGTGTTTTGATCCAACACATAAAGAGTCTCGGGGTGAAACAGTGCTCAGAATTTATGTTCCACATGTAAAAATGTATTCTTTACGGTGTCGAATTCATAAAGATAAATTGATTTGTGTCTAATGACTGTAAGAGGATAATTCTAATGTCGAACAACATATCTCCTAACAACAAAAGGTTTGTATTAAAACGTAGGCTAACTCTAAAAACAGAAACAGGCCAAAAATGATTATCTATAGAAGCAATAAAGAATATTCACAAGTCCAAGATAGAAACCATTCAACAATAGATAATTATTCGTAATGAATGTCAATTTTAAATAATAATAATTATTTAAAACTTCCTGTTCGGTTTCCCTTGTGCAATAAAAGACTACGTTTCCTGTCGAGCCCTGCGCAGAGAGGAGCGCCCTTCCTCGTCAAGATGGAGGCTCCTTTGACTCTACTTATGGTTGTAGCCGTTACGATCCGTGCAGCTCTGTTCAGGTCCAGTTTGGTGGATCTAGTTGCAGAGAGAGTGGAGGTGGTGTCTCCACTGACTGCCTGGAAAAGAGGTAAGCGGCGTTCAGCAGCCTTTTGCTGCCCCCAGTGCCTCCTCTGCTCGGCGCTGCTAGCCGGTGTGAGTGGAGTCGGTTACGTCAAACCGGTTTAACCAAGAAAATCTAAATTCCTAGTCCATATTTAAAAAGATCACTAACACTGGATTGGTCTAGTATAGCTGCTTTGTTGTGGTTGTTTTAAATGGCAATTTACATCCGTTTTCACTCATATTTACATGTTATTTTTGTGGACTTTCATTATTGTGTTTCACTGGTTCAAAAAAATGTTGGTGCAGAAATCAGCATGAGAGCATCACAGTGGGTAGAGACCAGGGACCAGGGACCAGGGACCGGGGACCAGGGACCGGGGACCAGGGCCCAGGGCTCAGGGACCAGGGCCCAGGGCCCAGGGACCAGGGCTCAGGGACCAGGGACCGGGGACCAGGGACCAGGGACCAGGGACCAGGGCCCAGTCGGACCGAAGTAGCTTTCTGAAAGGCCCAAGGCCAGAAGGTTCCTGTTGGACCCCTACTGGCCTATGTAGTAACAATATATCAAGTCTATTTAGTTGTTTTTGGCGTCACATCATGAAGGTGCAGCTGTTTGTTGAGCCACACTGAGGTTTTTATATAAAGGAACAAATTGGCCTTCGCACATACACATATACACACGCAGTACGAGAGCTGGACAGTGTGTGAATTACAGTGAAACAACACAGCCCTTCATGAATTGTTCATTAGGGGGCAGCTGTAACAGGAAGCAGCGTCAAACAGCGGCTCTGTAGCTGCTCTATGAGGAGGGCGATGTCATGAAGACAACAGGCCAGGCTGGATAATAAACGAGTCTTTCTGTGACATCCTGTGTTTTTGTTTGTTTGCAGTGGTTGAAGGTTTGGCTCTGCTTGACTTGGGAGTGTCACCCTACTCTGGAGATGTTTTCCATGAGGTGAGAAGTGCACACACATGTATGACCCAACGGGTCATTTCCACCGGGGCTGAAAGGGATACGCTCTTCTCACCTTTTAAGTCCTGCTTATCGATTTTACATCATTCACTTTTGTATCTGGTTGATTTTTTATTTTTTTTACTCAAATCTCTCTAGAGTCCTCTTACTGTCCAACCACATTACTTTGCACTTGTTTCCTTGAGAAGTGAGCGTAGGAAGCAGCAGCTAGTGGTGCACTGAGTGCTCTGTGTGTTTTGCCTCTCATGCTACATACACAGGCTTCCCAGCCTTGTTGATGAAGGTTGGCTGAATCTAAATATCCACATTTCACTGCATTTGCAGAGATAAAATGTGTTATTGCTGATAGACAAACCTACATCCATCTGAAAACTCAACATTTGAAGCAGGTGGCGGAGATAGTTATTGCTTTTCTGTTTTGTTACTTGTAAGTCAAATGTAAAGCAAAGCAACACGACATCAGTTGTAGGACAGTATCACACTGGGCAGAAATACTCTAGGCCACAATATCTAACAGCATGTATTTGACCTGAGTGGGTGCATGAGCACAGTCAGGTTCCACAACAACATGTTGTGTTGTCTGAGTTGCTGTGATCCTAAATGTCCTTTTCTTTCCTCGTCAGACTCCTCTCATCATTTACCTCTTTCACTTTTTGGTGGACTATGCTGAGATAACGTTTATGGTGAGTAGGAAAATAAAGAAGTGACATTTTGGTCTGAAAGATTTCACTGTGATCCAGTGTGGAAAAACAGCTGGAATAAAATGGCATTTTGAGCTTCTTCTTCTTTTTTCCCAAAAAGAGAATATGACACAAACACCTCAGATTTGCTCTGGTTATGGAAAATGTTGTATTGTTGTTGTTGTTTCAGAGGCTCATTTGCTTTTTGTTTGTCTTCAGTTGGCAGACGTGATCACTGCTGTGGCTCTGTACATGGCAGTGAAGGACTACAACAGACAAGTGGTAAGAAAACAGTGGTGTCTTGAGAAGTGCAGAGAAACTAATACCCCATAAAGATGAATATGTTAAAGAGGAGGGCTGCATTGCTGTTTCACATATGTAAACAAGAGTTAATGGATGAATTACATTATTTCTGCAGATAAACTACCGTACTTTCCAGACTATAAGCCACTATTTTTGTGTCTTCATGCACACACCCTCATCATGGACAACACACGACGAAATGCGTATGATGCCGCTTCAAGTTACAGGCGATCGATCTGGCTGTTGAAATATCTCATGTTACAACGTGGACACCTGCGTCTATGTACAACCTGTTTTTTTGTCTTACATTTAGTGGGTGTGGCTTATAGTCCGGAAATTACGGTATATACTTTTCTCAATTAGCAGTAAGTGAGACTTTTGTATTCTCTGTGTTATTTTGTAGCTTTGGGTGCTTAACGTGTCTCTGTAGTAACAGTGCTGTGATCTATTTGCTGTGCTGTTGATGCTGTTTCAGTTCAGAAAGCAGAAATTTGCCTTGGAGGCCGACCGCTATCCCCCCGACTGTCTGGAGCTCATCAGAAGCCCCAAAGAAATGTACTACGTCCCTCTGAAAGTAGCCATGTTGTAAGTGCCATCACTCTCCCAGGGAGCTGCCAGTTATGTTGGAATTTCTGACTTTAGGGACGATCGGTGAGACTCTTGGTACACCACACACATCTGGTTCACACTATGGTCATCGTCATCAGACCAGTCTGTGACCCTTGTTGTGCTGTGGATGGCGGGGGCACTGTCATCCTGGGTGAGACCACTCAGTTATTCAGGGTTTTTTATTGTTTTATCACCCAACTCTTTTTATTTAAGTGAGGATGTTTGGAAACGCGAGCTCACATATTTACACAGATTTGCATCATTATCACGAATGAACAGAACCTGGAAAAAACCTTCAGCCAGAAGATGTACCTTATCCCACCTCTTTCTTTTGCCTTTGTGGTTCCTGGGTGAGTGATTAGTGATGAGTTCATGTTTTTTTTTTTCTTTTTCTCTCAGTTACCTGTTGAACCCGTTCACCATCCTCTCCTGTGTCGCCAAGTCAACCTGTGGTCTGAACAACGCCGTCATCGCCCTCTTCATCCTCTCCACGATTAAGGGTAGCGTTTGGTTTTAACTGTGAAAGGACATGATTATTCTAAAGGCACTGGATTCTTCTTTGGATCCATAACTCCCTTGTCACAGGACTGTGTCCTCGTAACTGCTTTATTCATATTAAGTGCACGTGAATTGCAACTAATTATTATCGAGTCATCTGCAGATAACTGATTGGTTTGGTCTTTAAGGGGTCAGAAATGGAAAAATATGCCCATCACATTTTCTCAGACCCTGATGTCAAGTCTTCAGATGTCTTTGTTTTTTGTTTGTTTTTGTTTTTGTCCAGTCAACAGTCCAAATTCCCAGAATATCCCGTTTGCAATTTAATGAAGCAGAGAAAAACAGAACCTTCTTATCAGAACAAGCATGTTTGGCCTTTTGGGAACTTTCACTGTCTGAAATGTTTCATGTAGCTTTCAGGCGTTTTGCTGATGCTGTCCTGGAGCGACAATGCAAACATGAAGCAACTGATTGAGTTGTGTAATTCTGTGTCTGCATTGCAGGAAATGTTTTGCTGAGTGCCATATTTCTGTCGCTGGCCACGTATCAGTCCATTTACCCTCTGACTCTGTGTGCTCCAGCACTGCTGTATTTGATGCAGGTATGTTGAATACGCAGGTTGCTTTTCCATCCTCTTCGTTGCTTTCACTGTTACTTTCTCTCTCTTCTTCTCTTTACTGTCTGTTTTCTCCTTTATCAGCAGATTCTTTTTTTTCTGCTCCTTCTCCAAAACCTTTTTCATCATCTTTCCTTCACTAAAGTGGATTTATATTTTCCTTTTATCCTCCGGCAGCGACAGTACATCCCGGTGAACTTTCGGCGAGTCAGTTTCTGGTGGTTCGTCGTGCAGTATGCCTTCATGTACCTGGGTAGCCTGTTTGTCATCATCTGTCTCTCCTTTTTCCTGCTCGGCTCCTGGGACTACCTGCCGTCTGTCTACGGCTTCATGTGAGTTGTGAACTGAAAGCTGGAGCCAGATTAAAAAGAATCTGTGGAGGTTTTGACCTTTATAAAGGAACATTATAAAGCAGTTTCTTTGGAGTGAGACCTTGTTTGTCGTCTAAGGTCACCTGGCTCTGCCTCTGTCATAAGTCGTAGCAGTAGCTCACAAGTCTCCCTCCCAAAATTGATTTAGAAATGAGTGATGCTCATCCACTATATTGCTTTCCTGTCAAGATAATTAGAAAGCGTGTTAACCCCATGCTGTTTTATGCTGTGTGGCTAAGCAGACCTGACAGAAAATCTGTCTCAGACAAAAGTGATAGGAGTCTAAAAAGCAGCCGTCTTGGCTCAGTTGCTCTTCTCGTGAATAGTCAGTTTTGCTGTTACTGTGAGCGTGTGCGCTGTTTTTCTGACGTTTACAGTTTGAGACCGGACCCAGCTTTATGGTGACTGTCAGCGCGTCCTTACATTTCATCTGTCTGTGGTGACAGGCTTCGTGTTGCCTACTCATAAGAAGATGGACTTTGAATCAGGAAGTCTGTTTTGTTGGTTAAATAGATGTTCACAGCCTGCACACTTGGAAAACGATCACAGTAGCGGCGTATATTACTGTAGTGCTACACAGATAAACCAATAGAAAAGACACCTGCTCCTGTTTTTGCTTTTGACTACGAAGCACTCTGTGATATCTGCTCTGTGCCGGTGCTATGAATGCAAACTACTTGACTGCAGCCCCCATTAGAGTCAGTGTTTGTGCTGGTTTCAGGTCTGTTTGTGTGATGCTTTCTGTTTCCTCTCCTTCAGCCTCTCCGTACCAGACCTGACCCCCAACATCGGCCTCTTCTGGTATTTCTTCGCCGAGATGTTTGAACACTTTCGCCTCTTCTTCCTCTGCGTCTTCCAGATCAATGTTTTCTTCTACACCATCCCTCTGTCCATCAAGCTCAAGTAAGTCCTCCCCACACCCCCAGCCAATGATTTCCTTTGACTTACAATGAAAGGAAGCTGTTGGTGCTTTTTCTTTTGTAACCCGACTCAGTTATGCCGCCTGAAAATGAAGCATTACCGTGCATGTGTCTGTGCTGCAGGGACCACCCAGTGTTTCTGATCTTCATGCAATTAGCTGTCATTTCCATCTTTAAGTCATACCCCACTGTGGGAGACCTCGCTCTCTACCTGGCCTTCCTTCCTGTCTGGAGTCACCTGCACAGATGTGAGTGTGGAAACACGTGATTACTGAATATTGATTATCACAAGGCTGACACTGGTTTCGCCAACTCGTTTTCACCTTTAAATGGATATTAACATTCTGGAGTGTTGGACGAGTGGAAGTTATCACCTGCTGGGGCTGTAGGTGGAACAACCAGTGATCAGTGAGGTCATTCACATTTATTCTCAAGCGACATTGAATGCATGTCCCAGGTTTCATGGCAGTTAGGTTGAGATACTGACATTTTATTCCCTTAAATGAGATTTGTGTCCTGATCTAAAGCCTAAAAAATAATCAAGCAACATGCAATAAATGAATTTTGTCAAGTAAACACTAAAACACTAGTGCTATGATGAGGCAGAATGTGTTTGATTAAAACTGAACTGGAGGTAGCAGGGAAAGAAAACATCTCCCCTGGTTTGTCTCTGTCTGTTCAGTCTTGAGGAATATCTTCCTGGTCTCCTGCGTCCTGCTGGCCTGTTCGGCTCTCTTCCCAGTCCTCTGGCACCTCTGGATCTACGCCGGTAGCGCCAACTCCAACTTCTACTACGCCATAACACTGCTGTTTAACGTGGCGCAGGTAGGATGGTCTGGATGGGAGACGAGCCTTTTTCTCACCAGATATTTTTAACTAGGACAGGAAGGCTGGCCACTTAAAAACAGTCTTCCTTTAAAAAAAAGAGCAGATGTACGTTTTATTAGTTTTTCTTTCAAGTTATTGGTCATATGTAAATCCTCTATAATTTAGCTTAAACGTGAATATGTATAATGTGTGTAAATCATATTGGATCTGTTCCTCTATCAGCCCTCACCAATCTACCATGATTTAAATTATTTGAGTGTAATTCCTAAATCCCTGTTCAACAATGACCTAAGTATTTTCCTTCCCCTCAGATCCTGCTGGTGTCTGATTATTTCTACGCCTTCTTGAGGAGAGAACACCACCTCACCTATGGACTGTATCTGAAGAGAAAGGACGGCTCCGAGGCTACGCTAGTACTCAAATAAAACTCGTACAGCCTCTACCAGAAGAGGAGAAACTGCTCGAGGTCTCATGAATCCTCAAAGTGAACAGACACAGACTGAGGAGGATAAAGATTTTTGACGCCACGCTGGTCGTCAGACAGAACAGCAGCGTACGTGCCGATGGCGTGCACGGTATAGCGCCATATGCAAACAACAGAACAGCAACAGACACAGATACAGAAGCTGGGTATAGAAATCTGGCTCCTGCCATCATCTTCTCTTCTGGAGCACTCTTATTTTGAAGCCTCCCTCCACTTTGAACCTACACCTGACAATGGGACTTTTATTTTGAAACCTTCCTCCTCACAGCTGCTGCAGAGGAATTTTATTTTGATGCTCTGTTCACTGTTTTCATGGAAAGCCTGAAGGTTTCCATTTCTCATCTCTGTCTTTCTCACCGCTCTCCCACTGTTTGCCTGTCACCCTATTTTTGTTTTGTTATTTTGCTCTTTAATATCCAAGATAACCAGTGTTGCATCACAATGGATGGTGAAAACCAGTCAAACCAATTCTAACCTCATTGTGGTACATAAAACCTAACACTACAAGGGACTGTGACAACAAAGAGACAGAATTTTTGTTTTGGACCACGTTAAACATCGTCTAGCCTCAGTGCTGACCCGCCTTCTGTTTGAGCCTGGACTGTGTTTTCCTCTCTTCCTGCATGTATCATCAGAGATAGTTAACCAAGCTGTTATTACATTTAGATTTAACTCTTAAATGAATTATTCCCCATAAATGTGTTTCACTGGGCGGTGTCTGAGGTCACTGCACAAGGCTTTTTAAGTAATGGACTGTTTTGACATTTTGGGAAATACACTCATACTTTCTTGCCAAGTTAGATCTTCATATTGATACAGTACCACTGTCAAGTATTTTCAGGTACATAACCACTCATACAACAGCAATTAAAATTTTGTATGAGTAAATAGATAAAACTTTAATTAGTGATGTGTCAGGGTGCTGTTGTGTGGTTTTTGTTACCTTTGGACAGAGTCAGGCTGCTTGTTTCCAGTCTTTATGCTAAGCTAAGCTAAGCTAACCAGCTGCTGCAGAGATGACAGTGGTATCGATCCAAAGATCTGCTGTAAGCAAAGCAAACAGTTGTTTATCTTTCCCAAACTGTCAAAACTCCCCCTGAAGTGTTGGGAAAAGGTTTTATTAAAAAAAATATATCAAAATAACTTTACTCTCCATGGCCACTGTACTGCCTAATGGGAACCAGGATGACTTTTAAGCTCAGTCTAATTTTATGATGTGTATAGTTCTCAGTTAATGTTGCTGCTTTTCTGGACTGCATCCTGTCAACTTAGTAATAAATACATAACTTTACCTATAGGCATCATAAAAGTTGACTTTAAGGCTGAGTAGACGTATTAACCTTAATTAGATTGTACACTTGTACCTAATAAATGGCCTTTTGAGTGTATGTGATGAAATTAAGTACACAGGTGAATGCTTTTGTTTGGTAATTGTTTTATTATTATTTTTGGTCTGGTTTTTTGGCATCATCCATGTGAAAATAATAATGTAGTCATAGTTCCCAAAAAGTGTGATGTAGGGGTTTCAGGTATTTAACGAAACTTTTAAACTTCAGCAGATAAATAAGGGAAACACAGTTTATAACTAGACTGATTTTAACATGAAATAGGAGTAAAATCTATGATAAAAGAACAATAACTCGGTTTACCTGATTTTAACATGAAATAGGAGTAAAACCTATGATAAAAGAAAAATATGTCCAATTACATACAAATATTAACTGTACAACAGATCAGTTGTTTCGACCCACATGCCCCAGCAGGAGGTTGAACAGTCGATACCAGTGAATGAACAATAATTTGTGATGTTTATTAATTTGCTGCACTGAAAACTTTGCAAAGAAATTAAATTATTTCTTTTTTTTTAATACTGTGTATATTACTGTATTTTGTGTTATTGCAGAGATTAAAGTGCAGGGTTTGAAGGGATGATATTTGATGAATGAGTGAACAAGTCATAAATGATTATTAAAGTTGACATGTTTGTTTAGTCCTGCTATCTGTTTGTAAAGTTCATATATCCATATGTTCTATAATTTTGACTGTGTGTGATAAAACAAACAAAATGAACCATTCACTGAACAGAGAGGCTACATTTATTTTATGGTCATTGTTGCTTGGACTTCCTCCTCCATGTTCAGGCAGATATGATTCATGTAATTAGGCCTTGAAATGTATCACGTTTGTTGTTAAAAAACAAACAAACAGGAGATATAAAGCCCATTCTTTTCAGTGAAGGGAGGGTAAAAGGAGGCAATGAAACAGACTTGAACGCGGCCAACATGTTCCCGGGGAATTTTTTGCGTCATAAACTCCACCCGCTGGGTGCGTTTGTTTTTACTTCGCAAAGCGCACCACTTTCACTAACAGGCTTCACCGTAACACCGAATGTCGGTGCTTAAAAAAACCCAAACACACTCTTCTGTCAGTCCCCGCCTCCTTAGAACGGGCCGTCCAATCAGCAGTCGGAATGCCAGTGACCACTTTGAATATTCATCAGTTTTCGCGGGCTTTGAGTATCACGTGTTTGTTTCGCGCGAAAAGCGGCTCTCGACAGGAAGAAGGAGATTCTTTACCAGAGGCAGAGAGAAGCACGTTAAACAATGGCGGTGAGTTAAACTCTTTGAAACAGATAAATTAAAACGTTCATGAGTAGTTTTGTCTGTTTACGGGGTTTAATCTTTATACTTATGTTTGTAGTTTGTACGTTTTGGGAGACAAAACAATGACAAAGGGCGTTGAGATGGGTTTCGAGCTGCTTTTACTAAACTGAATTAATGTGCCTTTACACTTTGAGTCGGCGCTGAATTGAACGCTTTTTGTGACGAAACGTTTTGACGTGTTCCTGACAATAACCCGTTATATCTGTGTCTTCGGCCTGTTGTTGTAAAAGACCTGCCATGTAGAGCCTTCAATAAACTAAAGAGCCAGTTTACATGTCTGTGGGTCAAAGAGGCAGCTCTGAATAAAACGGCTTAAATGTTTTAGCAGAGTAACAAATTCACCTGAAGGCCACATGACCCCAGACTCTGTTAACACAACCTAACTGACGTTTGACAATAAGGGCTTCCACATGTCGACTTCATTAAGTTGCGGACTGTAATTATCTTAGTTAATTTGTCGTTTGTGCCACATGGACACAAACTCCAGCTGCTGGTGTGTCACTGTTTCTGCATCTCCATCAGTTATGGTGACACACTTTTCTCATGGATGTAACATCTGTGATCAGTGATAGTATAAAACAAGATATTACAACATAACAGACTAATAAGTGTTTTATTATTATGAGTGGATACTTTAATCATCCTAATGGGGAGTTTTGTTGTAGTAGCTGCCAAGTCACATAAAAATACAAAACAAATGAGACGAGCATTAAAACAGGGAAGTGAAGACACAAAATGCAGTAGATAGAATGAAATGACAAACAAATGGATTGAACATTAGTTCTGAGCTTGAAATAAAAGGAGTCGTTGTTGGGTGTTGTCAACAGGATTCCTCCGAGTCCTACCACATGGCCACCAGCCCCAGCCGCACCTCCAGGAGAGGAGACCTGACCTCCAGCCCCGGACGAGACCTGCCGCCCTTTGAGGATGAGTCAGAGGGGTTGCTGGGGGAGGGACCCCTGCCTGGGGAGGAGGAGGAGGAGGGAGATGGAGAGGACCTGATTGGGATGGGGATGGAGAGGTGAGGATGCTGATGCATTTGTGTTGGGCCAGATCTCAAACGCCCGGTTCAGACTATGTGATTTAAGCCTCTTCACAGCTCGACACAGTGGATGTAGAGCGTGAGACTCAACAGTTGATCATTTTATCTCGTAGAGTGTGTCATAGTAAACGACAGCCAATGCTGCGTCCGGGGGGGGGGACTCCTCATGACGTCCAAACACAAAGTCCAGCATGTCAGAATGGGCAGGGCTGACCAACAGGGCCACAGATGGCTCTTCTGTTCACAACATTTTTGGCATTTTGGCCTGAACCATATCCATTAAATATCACAGTGTTAACATTAGCTAACGTTAACATAGTGACTTTCTCAGACGGGGGGAAACAGCTACCCTATCAGGGCTAGTTCAGTTTTACTACTGGCTTAAATCACTTGGTTTTGACTGCTACTTCAGGTTCTCCACAAAGCAGAGACTACACCTGCTGCTGTGCTCGTCATGTGACCCACAGAAAGGTCTACAATCACCCCCCCCTCCCACACCCTTTTTATGCTTTCCTGAACACAAGCAGCCAGTATCACACACACTCTTCTCCCCGGTCCCTGGCACCTCCAGGTGTATTGTGTAGTCTGAACCAGCCATGACTTGTGTTTCACTCTCTGCTCAGGGATTACCGTCCCATCCCAGCTCTGGATCAGTACGAGGCAGAGGGTTTGGACCTGGATGACGAGGATCTGTCGGAGCTGTCGCCCGGAGCCCGAGCCGCTGCCGAAGAGGCCATGAGGAGGAGGGACAGGGAGCAGGGAATCAGCGGGCGGCTCAGGAGAGGACTGCTCTACGGTGAGCATTTGGGTATTTCAGGTGACTGTGAGATGCCGTAGGAGGTGCAGGTGAGCTGAACAGGACAGGCGCCTGGTGGTGTTCTTAAAGCAGCAGGAGGTTTTAAGTCTTCTATGCCCATGAGTACATTTCAAACATGGGCTGCTAATAATTAGTTGGGCGTACTTTAATCGGTGCATCAGTGCAGATGTGGGTGGACAAAGAAAGAGATGAAATGATTTATTTTGCTGCTGTCCAGATAGTGAAGACGAGGATGACGAGCTCCCCGCCTCCCGACGGAGGCGCATAGGTGAGCGTGCAGCAGAAGGCATCACTGATGGAGAGGAAGAGGAAATGATCGAGAGCATTGAAAACCTGGAAGACATGAAGGTTTGTAACGCTGCTGCTGAAGAAACAAAGCCACCCAGTGGTACTTGGAGCTGTGGCGGTGGTCTGACAGTGTTCCTCTGCCTGCAGGGCCACACTGTGAGGGAGTGGGTGTCCATGGCGGCTCCCAGGCTGGAAATCTACAACCGCTTCAAGAACTTCCTGCGGACACACGTAGATGAAAACGGCCACAACGTCTTCAAGGAGAAGATCAGTGACATGTGCAAAGGTGGTTCAGCTTTTCTAACATGGTGAAATACGTGCACATGTGCTGGTGAGTGTTTATGGCCTGTGGCTCCTTCTGGTTTGAAATGAATGAACTTCCACGTGTGTTCTCCCAGAGAATAAGGAGAGTCTGGCTGTGAACTATGAAGACCTGGCAGCCAGAGAACATGTGTTGGCCTACTTCCTCCCAGAAGCCCCGGCTGAGATGCTCAAGGCGAGTTTAGTCCTTTAGTTGTTCTTATTCTTTGGAGTCCATGTTCAGTCTGCCTGGCCACTTTTCCCCTTGGGCTCAGTTTAAGACTAGCGCCAATGTGATTTTGACCGTGTTTGTTTTCCATCAGGTGTTTGATGAAGCTGCTAAAGAAGTGGTGCTGGCCATGTACCCGAAATATGACCGCATCGCCCACGAGATCCACGTCCGCATCTGCAACCTGCCGCTGGTCGAGGAGATCCGTTCTCTCAGGTAACACTCCGGTTCACTTCATTCCAGACCAGTATGATTATTGTGCATTTAAAACCCCGTCAAACTGTGCAGCGTTGTCACCTCCAGCTGCTCTTTACAAACCTCTCTCCTCCTCTTCAGGCAGCTCCACCTGAACCAGCTGATCCGGACCAGCGGCGTAGTGAGCAGCTGCACCGGCGTCCTCCCGCAGCTCAGCATGGTCAAGTACAACTGTAACAAGTGTAACTTCGTGCAGGGGCCCTTCTTCCAGTCCCAGAACCAGGAAGTGAAGCCGGGCTCCTGTCCGGAGTGTCAGTCGCAGGGGCCCTTCGACATCAACATGGAGGAGGTGAGGGAGTATCAGTTTGTGGAGAAGCATTTTGTTTGTGTCGAACGTAGCACGTTACACTGAGGACAGACGGACAAAGCCTCAGCCCCATGTGACCCTCACGTTCACATGCATGTTGAGTTTTTTTTTCCCTCGCCACCTTTCTGCTGTCGCACATCAACCAGTGGATTAAGCAGCTGTCTCCCCCCTTCAGACCGTGTACCAGAACTACCAGAGAATCAAGATCCAGGAGAGCCCTGGGAAAGTACCCGCCGGCCGCCTCCCGCGCTCCAAGGACGCCATCCTGCTGGCCGACCTGGTGGACAGCTGCAAGCCCGGAGACGAGATCGTGAGTCAGATCCATATACATGCATGAAAAGTGGGTGCTGAAATAAATCTGTAAGAATGAACATCAGGCAGAAAATAGGTTGTTGATACTAAAGACAAACAGGAGGTGATGATTCATGACAGTGAGAAGTGTTAGCTGGCCTAGCACTTTATCATTGGCTGGAACATAATGACACCCCACCCCAGTGAAACGGGAACTTAAACGTAGACCTGATGGCTGTTTCCTCTCAGGAGCTGACTGGCATCTACCACAACAACTACGACGGGTCTCTGAACATGGCCAATGGCTTCCCAGTGTTCGCCACGGTGATCCTGGCCAACCACATCACCCGCAGAGACGAGGGCGTCGCCGTGGCCGAGCTGACGGACGAAGACGTCAAGGCCATTGTCACCCTGTCGAAGGACGAACGCATAGGAGAAAGGGTGAAGAGTCACGTCTCTAAACTTTTACTGCAGGCCAGGCTGTCCCTCGATTGTTGAATTTGAAATGACAGATTTGTTGTCAATAGATTAACAAGTGAGCTTCATCAAAGGATGCGTCAGCTGACTGACGCATCCTGGGAGGTTTTATTTTAAACGCCAAAAGAAGCTGATGGAGATTTGCAAAGTAAAAGCAAAACAAACATCTGTTTCCTTGTAGACAACCCTGCTTCCATATCTGAATCTAATCATCACATTGAAGTAATTATTTCCATATTACAGGCAACTGAATCTGAACTCGAGTCATTCAGAAAGACTTAATGTTGTGATGGTGAAAATCTGAGCTCCTGAAATGACTGACTTATCTCAGCAGTACCTGTTGAGGCCACTGCTTCGTTTCCCACCTGACTCTTTTCTCCTCTGTGTGTAGATCTTTGCTAGCATGGCTCCCTCCATCTACGGCCACGAGGACATCAAGAGAGCTCTGGCCCTGTCGCTGTTCGGAGGAGAGCCCAAAAATCCAGGTAACAACTCGGCTATGAGCTGGAAGACGCGTCTGTCCTGGAAACGCTGATGGCGCTGCTTTATGTTGTGCTGTGTACCGGTCTCAGTCGTCACACCAGGACAAATCCTACACCCTGTCTCTTGGTTCTACCTGTGCAAAGTGTTCCAGGATGTTGTTCATTTTGTGGTGGGGTAGCACCACAACACTGAAGTGACCCCTTAAGCCACAGTTATGCTTGATGCATTGGAAATTGTGCAAGTGAGCTGTGACATGGACAGCAAGACAAAACAGTTTCTATTCTCCTCCCTTCTCTACCAGGTGGCAAACACAAGGTGCGAGGAGACATCAACGTGCTGCTGTGTGGAGACCCAGGAACGGCCAAGTCCCAGTTCCTCAAGTGTGTATCAACACTCGGTGCATGAAGATAAAACTAAAGTAGAACAGACTAAAAATGCTGCCAGTTGATTAGCGTCAAACACCTGGAGATGCTGCAGTGACACCTTACAGTTCAGAGTTGTAAACAAATATACAAATCATGTGTGTGTGTGTCGTAGTGTGTGAGCTGCAGCTTTAGTGATGAACTGTGTAGAACTGGTTACCTGTTGCTAAGCTGGAAAATCAGATGTGAACAGGGTTAAAAATCCAAAAGTGATTTTATTAAACCTCATTAACGGTGTTGTTGTCGGCCTTGATTCCTCGTTAGCTACAGTTCATGTAACTGACAGAAGCCTCTGACTCTGGAGTCCTGACTTTTTTCTCTCTGCAGGTACGTGGAGAAGGTGGCGAGTCGTGCGGTGTTCACCACCGGTCAGGGCGCCTCTGCTGTCGGTTTGACCGCCTACGTTCAGAGACACCCGGTCAGCCGTGAGTGGACGCTGGAGGCCGGGGCGCTGGTGCTGGCCGACCGTGGAGTCTGTCTGATCGACGAGTTTGATAAGGTGAGCTGAGGCCTCTTGTGTATCAGCGCACGTTCAGGTGTCAGGTAACCATCAGTTTCTCTACACGTTAATCTGTGTTGTTGGAAGTGTACAGTCATTTAAAGGCGCTTGTTAATCTGATCTGAACGTCTGAGGACTGTCCTGTACTAGGAGCTGCCTTCAGAAGAAACACGCACAACTTGGGAAACAAGTTAAAAATCTGGTCTTGGAGTCTGTTTTTGTCCAGATACTTAGTCTTTGAGGTTTATGGAAATGCCTTGAGAACAGTGGTAAATGTTTGGTTGTGTTCAGACGGTGCGTCTCTGTCCACGTGACGATGATGTAAATGAACAGGCTCTCTGTGCCGCAGATGAACGATGCAGACAGGACGAGTATCCACGAGGCCATGGAGCAGCAGAGCATCTCCATCTCCAAAGCCGGCATTGTCACCTCGCTGCAGGCCAGATGTACCGTCATTGCTGCCTCCAACCCCATTGGTGTGTAACCGTGTGACGCGTTTGTTAAAATGGTTTGAAGCTAAGTTTATGTTGCATCGCAAGAGTGACTGGAAATGAAGCTGCCAGTAGCTGGTGGTCCTGAATAGTATCAGTGTTCTTTCATGTTTTCCAGTTAAACTTATTGATTGAACATCAGGATTGTTTCATTTCTGACACCATTAACTTTTCACTGTGTAGTAGTGTAACTAAAGGCCGCGGTGGTGCGTTCAGGTGCAGTTGGAAAGCTCTGACAGAGGCTGTCAGATTTCACACCCTCGGTTTTTGTATGTTGCACTAACAACCTAAGAGCTGCAAATAACAATTACACATCATCTCTTAACCTTAATTTCCTGATCAATTTAGAGGAAAACGTTTCTCAGACCAGTGAGACCAGGAAAAACGATTTGATTTCATGTTAATATAAAACAAAGAAATGCAGCAGATCCTCGCATTAGTCAAAACGGAGTCACTAAGTTTGGGGGATGTTTGCTTCATAAATGACAGAACCAGTCAGTGAGTTATCAACATAGTGCAGATTTCAGTGGCGGACTCAGTTTTAACGTTTCCTCCCGACATTATTCTAGTCGGACAACCCTCTTTATATTAATTATAGACAGGACCGCACTGACGACCAGCTTCAGATCTGATGTAGACATGTTTGCGTCCATGTTGCTCTCTGCACTCGTCTTCCTCTAAACACCAGCTTGTGCTTCTTCGCAGGCGGCAGGTACGACCCCTCCCTCACCTTTGCTGAGAACGTGGATCTGACGGAGCCCATTGTGTCGCGGTTTGACGTACTGTGTGTCGTCAGGGACACTGTGGACCCTGTGCAGGTAACACACACACACACACACACACACACACACACACCTACAGCTTCCTGACTGCAGTGTGTGTGCACGCGAAGCCTCAGTTATTGGGAAACAGCCTTGAACATGTTAACTCAGTGAGTTTGAGCCATGCGATGCCTCATTCATTCACCATTCACACTTTATCAAACTGCACGTGCATCATTGTGCACAGTGAAGCTCAAACATCCAACTGAAGAAACGAGCACAACGCATGTTGAAGTGGAGGAGGCGTTGACAGATGTTCAGGCCGTGACCAGGTGCTCACTATTCTGTCCTCTGCTTCAAGTTTGGTTCTGTTTCCGAGCAGGATGAGATGTTGGCCCGCTTCGTGGTCAGCTCCCACATCAAGCATCACCCGAGCAACAAGGAAGGGGGTGTGGCCTTAGAGGAGGTGGTTCTGCACAACTCGTCGGATGTGCCGCCAATTCCCCAGGAGCTCCTGAGGAAGTACATCATCTACGCCAAGGAGCGGGTACAGACACACCTAACGTCCTCACAAACCTTCGACCAGTCACTCAGCCTGTGTGGGAGTTTGCGTATTTGTTTCTGTACATGATTATAACTGGGCAGTCTGCAAAGTGACACCACGAAGCCGACACCTTGTGTTAAATATCCAGCCTAGACCTGGTTTCATGGCCCCGTCTGTCCCTAAAAGCTGGTCAATGTCCTTTTTACTTATTTTTTTTAAGCTGATTGTATCAGCATCCTAAAGTTTAGGGGCAAAATCTGTAAAGTCTTGTAAGTGGGAAGACGAGGCTAAAACATTTTACTACAGTTTACCCCCCTTTGTCTGCAGGTTCATCCCAAACTGAACCAGATGGACCAGGACAAAGTGGCTCGCATCTACAGTGACCTCCGCAAAGAGTCGATGGTGAGTCCTCAGAACGGTTCCACCTTTCAGACATGTTCAGAAACCTCTAGAACAGTCACTGACAGATAATCCTGTAGTCACAATATTAATACATGTGAGATATTGTGCACTGCTGCGTCGAAAGGCAGTTCAAGTCCCCCTGTGCTGGTTTGGTCTCCCTAACAGGCCACGGGCAGCATCCCCATCACGGTTCGGCACATCGAATCCATGATCCGCATGGCCGAGGCCCACGCCAAGATGCACCTGAGGGACTACGTCCTGGAGGACGACGTCAACATGGCCATCAGGGTCATGCTGGAGAGCTTCATCGACACGCAGAAGTTCAGCGTCATGAGGGGCATGAGGAAGGTTTGTGGCCTGTCTGCCGCGGCGTGATAAATCACTTAATCTGATTCCTACTTCAGAGTCGTAACTCGCTCAGCTGTGTTACACACAGACATGCTGAATTCGTTTCCTGACGATATTTTTGGTGCCAATTTGCAAAAATGTAAACAAAACATTCACTGTGCTGACAGAGATGAAAGCAACACATTTGGTTTGCTTGAAACATGTTTTGCTCAAACTGAGCCTTAAACGTGCGTAGTACAGCTCACAGGCCAACGTATTCTGAAAGTGAGGATCTGGTTAATACATGTTGTGACTCTACTAAAGAAAAGATAAACTACCAAGTTTCCAAGACAAAGCTCGGCCGTTCCTGATTCTTCCTCGTTGACCGTTTCTGTCCAGACCTTTGCACGTTACCTGGCCTTCCGCAGAGACAACAACGAGCTGCTGCTCTTCATCCTCAAGCAGCTGGTGGCCGAGCAGGTCGCCTACCAGAGGAACAGATACGGAGTGCAGAACGACACCATCGAGATACCAGAGAAAGACCTGCAGGACAAGGTGACGTGTCTGACACCACTGCTGCGCTCGGCCTTTATTTCAGTGTTGCAGAGCATTTGATTTAAAAAGGGGTGGAGTGTTTCTGTGAAGGCTGCTGGGAGCTGTTCATCTCAGAGCAGCCTGATGGTAACTTTACTGCCCACGCTATGAGGTCAGTACATCTAATCGCCTCCTTTTGCCCTGTCCTTCCTTGCCCTCTACCCTCCTCCTCCAGGCGAGGCAGATCAACATCCACAACCTGTCGGCCTTCTATGACAGCGACCTGTTCCGCTCCAACAAGTTCAACCACGACGGGAAGAAGAAACTGATCCTGCAGCAGTTCTAGACGCCCGCTCGTCCTCTGCCTCCCTGCTCAGCTCAGTGCTTCATGAGCTCGGTTTCTGGGCCTAAAATGGGTCATTGGAAGAAAAATGCTTTCATCATGTTGGAGTCCTTGGTGAGACGCAGGTACCTTTGGGTGTAACAGGCTGGAAATGTCCAGAGGGACGTTTCTCATCACATAAACTTGTTCTACTGGAGGAATCCGGCAGTTTTCACCTGATGAAGAGGGCGAGTGGGAGACGGCTGGCGTCGGTGCTCCACAAACATGAATATTGTTGGAGTTTTAAATGCTGTGTTTTATTTTGAAAGAATTTAATCTTAAAGTAGCGGCAGTGTTTCCACTCATTGGTTCACAAAGTAAAAGCTTGTTGGTTGTTCATACCTGACGTTACGCTGCTGCACCACAAACAGGCTGAAGAGTCTGAGTCCACCAACGTCTGTCAAAAAGAAAACTGCAAAAAATATACAAGAAAAACAAAATAGACAATGTTATAAATGGACTGAGTCAGCGTTTGCTCCTCCATGTGCCTGCATCCGCCCTCAGGTCAGGTTGTAAATAAATATTTGTGTCTGTTCGCTGTTGAATTTGTCTGCGGTTCCTCAGTCATGAAGAAGTTTCACACTTGCTGACTACAGAGTTTTCTGTTCAAGCCAGAGTTGAACCCTCTACGTGTAGATTAGGACACGTCAGACATTGTTCGTTTCTAATGTTGGAGTCACTTGATGTTGGATTGTAGTGCTGTTTTGACATTAAACTTGTATTTGCTGCACATCTGTCTGGGTCTAGTTTGTTGGTCCACGGACACTGCTTTGATTTGAACGCTCAGCAGTGCCAGCTCACCTCGCAGTCACAGACTGTGAGACGACCATAAAGAAAAATGAGATGCCAAGCTAGTTTGAAAAGGCTCAACCACAAAGAAGTGCTACCATAAAGAGATGAACAACTATGAAGACACACAAAATGACTGATGGTCCTAAAGAGGAGTGTGGGGCCTCTTACCTGTCTGTGTCCAGAGGTTCATTTTCAGATAATCTGCCCATGGATTGAACTGTGAGATCATTTTGGAGGTTGTTGTTGAACTCTGTTCTTATACAGATCGCTGGTTCTGTGTTCCTTTGTTCAGATAATATTCACATATCCCCATATCAATAGTCTTACAGGTGCTTTTAGTCGATTTGTTCAGCTTTTTAAATTTATATTAAAGGGTATACTACTATGTCAGTATCTTAAATAGTTATATTGTACATATTTAATCCTTTTTACAGTATAGATATTGCGCCTGGCTTTTCCTCAGCCCTTCTCTTTTCTTGTTCCGAGTTGTTTTGTATAAGTTGTACAAAGAAACACCAATGTACGAGGAGCACCTGAACACAGCAGCTCAGCCAGCGGCGGTGCCATCTAGCGGCAACAAGAGGCAACGACAAGCAGCCGCCACACGGTTGTTTCCAGCGTCAGTGGTGCAGCAGCACATCCCGGTCTGACCGCAGCTCTGTCTGTGCGTGTGTCTGTGCGCAGGACACGGCAGACAGCCGGCCAGTGAGCCCGCACGCAGGCAGAGCAGGAGGCCATGAGCACCGCGTTTTCCTGACCGCCTCCATTCACAACCAGAGCCTCTGCAGCTGAAATCTGGGAGGTGTGCGCGTTTCTAGCGGAGGAGGAGCGGGGATGCTGAGCACTGCAGCAGTCGACATGCCGGGCCTGCTCCACATCACGCTACTTGGTGAGTGTGTTTATTTATCAAGCCGTGACCACAAACAGCTGTAGTGAGCCAGTCGGTTTTCAGGACGTGCACATTTTCCGACAAACGCAAGAAAATATACAGCGGCCAGATTTGGGGGACTTTGAAAACCATCACACATGAAGGTAAGACTGGTGTAAAACTCCCCACTGAGCACCACGGACACGTTGAACTGGGATTTTTTCAGAATGAACGATGTTTATTCATAGTAACGTAATGAGTCAGGGTGGAACCAGCCGCCAGGTTGATTCCTGCAAAGTGGACGCACAGGCTGGCGGTGTGTGGGAGGCGCGCAGTGCACTTAAATCAGACACACACTGCGTCATCTGACTGACACACACACACACACCGGACATGGAGCCCAATCAGCTTCATCATCAGTAACACAGCTGCTTGTCATCAGTTTTGCATCCTCATGCACATCAATAATAAAACAACCATCCATCCATTATCTATACCGCTTATAACTGAGGTGGGGGGGGTGTTAGGCACAGGGAAAACGTGCAGACTCCGCACAGAAAGGCCCTGGGTGGGGATTGAACCTTGTAAAATGACAGCCCTAACCACTGCGCCACTGTGCCGCCCATAATAAAACATGTATTGTTTTATGTGATGAGCCAAATCAGTGCCATCGTAAATAATGATCTATAATTAATGATTATTTTCATTATCAGTTTTTTGTCTAAAATATTTTTAAAGGTATGAACTGGTTTCCCACAGCTCAGTGTTGTGTTCAAATAGCTCGTTTCCTTTATAATCCAAACGTATTTTCATCATGTGATAGAGAAAAGCGTCACCTCGTCGCCAGTGACGAGCTCCAAACAGCAAATTACCCTTTTTTTTTTGCTTGACAACTGATTCAAATGAACTATGAATCATCAAAACTAGAGATTAATGTTGTGCCAGGTGACTAATGGATCCATAGCTTCAGCTCTAATAATAATTATAGATCACAGCATCCACACAGTAGCATGGCAGCATCTGGAGTTTGTTTACTACTTGTTTATCTGATGATGACTGTTACTGTGCAGAGGTTTGTCAGGATCTGCCCACGGAGGAAGCTCCCACTGCTTCTTCTTCTCTGGTGTCTGTGCAGCTCCACTGACATTAAACTAGAGTTTCAGTAGAACAAGTAGAAACAGTCTGATCTCAGTGACACAGAGGCCTGATTGGGACACAGAGGAGCTGGCAGGGTGAGGAAGAGGATGCTAGGCTGTGTCACCAGTCTGTTGAGGTGAAGGGGATTTGGGGGATGGTCTCAGCCGAACGCGTGCTGATCGGAGGGGTGTTAAAGCACAGAGTGGGGGGGGGGCTTTAGGGTGACCCCTTCAACCAACATACTGGACACAGAATCAAAGAAGAAGATGCAGCTGTACCATCAGATTGAACAGAGAAACTGCAGTGATTCCTTTTGCGGAGTCACACACAGACATGACAGAAAAGCTTGTGTGTTGCTGACTAAGCATTTGTTTTTGTCAGCGAGGGACTTTTCTCTCCCAGGTTCACTGTGGTTTGGTGAACTTCGGCAGGTATCTCCCTTCCAGAAGCTGCTCATGTCCCCTGAAGCACCGACCGCCTCGTCCAGCTCAGCATGAAGCTGATCTGTCTTCATCTGATAAGGCCGACTCAGCTGTTCAGACCCTCTGACCGAACAGACGCTGGGAGGGTTTTCTCAAGTGATCACGCTGCAAGGTCATCATGTAGCTGTGAAACCTGGGTGTGCAGTCTGACAGAGCTTCCTCTGTGTGCTGTTAGACAACACATCCGACTGTTCACACACTTACAGGACACATTTAGAGCTGACGCCACGTTAGGTTACACAGAGCAGAGGGGGTGATGGGGGGCGAGTTTCATAGGTGAGAGGGAGGACGACAAGGCCACGCGGTTACACAGAGCAGAGGGGGTGATGGGGGGCGAGTTTCATAGGTGAGAGGGAGGACGACAAGGCCACGCGGTTACACAGAGCAGAGGGGGTGATGGGGGGCGAGTTTCATAGGTGAGAGGGAGGACGACAAGGCCACGCGGTTACACAGAGCAGAGGGGGTGATGGGGGGCGAGTTTCATAGGTGAGAGGGAGGACGACAACGCCACGCGGTTACACAGAGCAGAGGGGGTGATGGGGGGCGAGTTTCATAGGTGAGAGGGAGGACGACAATGCCACACGGTTACACAGAGCAGAGGGGGTGATGGGGGGCGAGTTTCATAGGTGAGAGGGAGGACGACAATGCCACACGGTTACACAGAGCAGAGGGGGTGATGGGGGGCGAGTTTCATAGGTGAGAGGGAGGACGACAATGCCACACGGTTACACAGAGCAGAGGGGGTGATGGGGGGCGAGTTTCATAGGTGAGAGGGAGGACGACAATGCCACACGGTTACACAGAGCAGAGGGGGTGATGGGGGGCGAGTTTCAATACTTGGCGTCAACTGTCCAAATTGATGGGGAGTGTGACAGAGGAGAGTGTAGGCAGGGTGGAGGGAGGTGAGAGGAGCAGGACTGGGAGCGTTTGGGCTTGTGCAGATGAGGATTGTGGGATATACTGGGAGAGGAATGCTGAGGATGGAGCCCCAGTAAAAGAGGAGGTCTGCCAATGTGGTGAGGGAGGACGTGGCATGACAGGAACATGCGGAGGACAGAGTGAGATGGAGACGGTGATCTGCTGTGGCGACTCCGAACAGGAGCAGCAAGAAGAAGGAAGTCGGTGATGATCTCATGCAGCCATATTTAAAAGTTACTAACTGACAAGTATCAGAATCGACCTCTCAGCTTGCTAGAACGTCTGTAACCAGCGTTGCCCTGGTGTCCTCAGCATCAGGCCCTAAAGTCCTAACAACGGATAGCGGTGCTGCATGTCCACCTGCTGATGACAAGTATGATGTAGTATTGGTAGGTAGGTTGGTAGGTAGGTACTTTATTGGTACCTCAATGGGGAAATGTCAGTGTTTGAACAAACAACATAACACCATGAGAAACAAGCACCACACACACATCCTGATAAATAAAATCCAAGTACTCAAAAATAGACAGAATCAAGTATTTGAATAATCAAGAACAGAATTTACATATGTGCATATTAACCATTCATTTTACCCCAGGATTTGAATATTGGACCTCAGTTGACTATTACATAGTCCCTCATACTTTCACCTAGCTTATCCCTGCAGTGATGTATTGTACAGTCTGATTGCTGTGGGGAGGAATGACCTACGGTAACGCTCCTTCTTACACTGGGGATGTAACAGTCTGGGCCTAAAAGAACTGTTCAGAGCCTCTACTGTGTGGTGCAGGGGATGGGAGGGGTCATGCATGATGGATGTTAGTTTTACCAGCATCCTTCTGTCCACCACCTCCTTGATGGAATCCAGGGGCCAGCCCAGGACAGACCCAGCTCTCTTGACCAGTTTGTTTAGTCTCTTCCTGTCCCTGTCCGTGCCACCTCCTGCCCAACGCACAACAGGGTAAAAAACAGCAGATGCCACCACAGTATCATAAAAAGTCTGAAGGAGTGCCCCACACGCATCAGTGTTTTCAGTCCATTTTGTTGTTGAGGTGGACCCCCAGGTATTTAAAGGTGTCCACAGTCTCAATGACTGAGCCCTGAAAGCTGACCAGAGTGAGTGCTGGTGATTTCCACCGGGGATCAATCACCATCTCTTTAGTCTTACTGGTGTTCAGGACCAGTTGATTTTCCCCACACCACTTCACAAAGTCAGTAACAACCCCCCTGTATTCCCGCTCATCCCCCCCCAATACACATCCAACAATGGGGGAAAGCACCGTCCCTCGTGCTGCAGACCACCACATCCGACACACAGTCACGCAGCCCGACAAACTGAGGTCTGTTTGTGAGGTAGTTAATGGTCCATTCAGACAGGTGTTGGTCCACATCTGCCCCCTCCAACTCCCCCCTCAGCAGTGACGGCTGGATTGTGTTGAAAGCACTGGAGAAGTCAAAGAACATGACCCTCACTGTGCTTCCAGGGGACTCCAGATGAGATAGGGCTCGATGCAGCATGTAGATAATGGCGTCATCAACCCCGATGCATGTATTGCAGCATTTTCATCAGTTGCTCCAGCTCTGGTTTGGTCTCCACCAACTCCTGAGAGGAATATCAATATCTTCTGATGCTGGATGATCCACCAACTTCAACTAGCTGCCAACTTTGTCTTTTGCTTAGCAGGCGTGTTATAAGAGCTGCCTGCTGCGACCAAATCAACACCACAGTGGTAACATTACTGGCCTCAAGCTGAGACAAAGGCTGCTACAACACTGCAGAGTCAGGTGGTAGTTCTCTGTGGAGATTAGCAAACAAAGCTGCGCTGTATCATTGGCAGTACTGATACTAAAGTAGAGGCCGAGTAGTCGCACCAGGATCCAGTCGCTGAGCATTTCACTACCACTGCATTAAGTTGTACAAATCATTTCTCTTGTGTATATACCACAATAATAATTTAAAGCTACATCAGCACACATTACATTTTAGAGCCTCTGTGGGATGTATTGTGCACTGCACATCCTGGCGCTGTCTTCTTCCCAACAATCACTGAGGAGAAGCCATGGATTTACGGTGTGACCTGGCCCAGGATCCAGGGTTTCCCAGTAATGAGCACATTCACAGCAGCTGGCCCTGCACTGAGCTGAGCTCTTCTTTCTAAAGCTTCGTTTTTCATCATCTCCAAAATAAGAGAATGTTTTGGTCCTTGGAATTGTGAACACACGCTTCATTAATGTGGAGCTCTGTCAGCACAGTGCTGACTTGGGGCTGTGGAATTAAAACAACCACAGCACTTCTCCACATTCGATGGATCCTTTACCTCTCTCCTCTTCGCCCTGTTCATCCTTAACTTCCGTCCTCCCTCCAGCTCCACCGTCCTCGGTGCCGTTCACCCAGTCGTCCACAGACAGCAGGACGCTTTGTGCTGGTTTTCATACTAAGTGCAACAGTGAAACAGTGAAATTTAATTTTTATGTCATTAGATCCATTGGGTTCAGTATAATTTGTAATATTTTTATTTTACCCCAGTCACGTGTGCACGGGGCCAACTGTGAGTTTGTAGAGCAGCAGTTCCAGTCCTCATCTCAGACGTGGAGACCCCCTCTGCTGTTCAGACACTTACCCCCCATTCTCCTCCTTTTTGGAAATCATGCAGCCTGTTTGTGGTGTCGGGCCAGAGCTTAAAGTGCTATAGACGCATTAGCTGTGATATGGTAATCTGCTCAGTCTGGCCGTGAGGCCACGCGACCATCTGTGGTCTCAGACAGAGAGGACCATGGGATACGTGAGGCCTCTGGCTCTGTGCCAAGTGACAGGGATTAGAGAAGGATGGATGGACGAGTGAGTGAATGTCTGACCACTGCTGTCATAAATGGCTAAGTTACTAAGTGAATGTTTTGACAAAGGTGTTGCAGAAAGTAGACAGCAGCTTTGGGGTTGCCAGGTTGAGAACGTGAATGTTTTGACAAAGGTGTTGCAGAGAGTAGACAGCGGCTTTGGGGTTGCCAGGTTGTGAACAGTCCTCCTCCAGCACAACACTTTGTTTTTTTAAAGCTTTAGCTCATTAGGGCGCCCTGTGCAGTGGACAGTGTGACTGCTTATCTTCTGGAAAGCAGCTGCAGCACGTCCGAGCCAAAGCTATTTATAAACTGATCATTAACATTGACAGCTGCAGAGGCTTCCTGTACTGTAGCACCATTTATTAACATCTGTAACTACATTAATACTGAAGAGAAACACACGGCCATGTTGTTGTTGTCCAAGTGTTGGATGCAAGAAAGACTTTACTCTAACACTGATTTGGACTTTTTAACTAGTCAGACTGTGTATAAGTGAATTAACGGTTATATCAATCAATCAATCCCTTTCAATTTATTGTCTTTCTGGAAATTCTTTTTTGTGTCTGTGGCAATTGTCAGGCAAGTACATTACACATTAACACAACACAGATGGGCATTCCCACCCTACACCATCATATCACAGTGAACCATCATGATGCCGTCACTTCTAAATGTTATTGATCAGTTTATAAATGGTTACGGTCCAGGTGTCCTGCTGCTGCTTTCCAGAGAATCATGATGGAGGAGGATTTTCCACAACCCAAATGTTCGGTCTCATTAACAGATCTATGCCACATTAATTAAATACAGCTTATAAACCCTTTGTAAACGGCGCCATGTTAGCAGAAAATGAAGAGCAGAATCAATCTGAGTGAGAGAATGAACAGAGGGTGATGAGAGAAGTTTAAATAAACCCCCTAAAAGAGGTGGTGGGGATGAGTGCTGTTCTCTCTCTGAGCTCAAACAAGAGGAAAAGTCCTCGTAGTCTGCAGCGAATCAGTGAAGTGATCTGATCTCAGTCGATCTCACGCGGTGTGTTGCTTTCAGTCTGACATGTTTGTATGAGCCACTCTGGGGATAATCAGCCTCGTTGTTGAAACCCAGACTGGGTTTCTACATTTTTCCAGCCTCCATCGTTTGTACATCAGCTGTTTTAAAGCAAGTAAATGTAGCAAAACTAAATTAGACATTGACCCCCAGTTAGTTCTTCACATTAAACCCCACTCACTGCGCAGCATTTAGAAGCTTCCAGAAACATTTAATAAAGAGTTTGTAGTGCACGATAATGGAGCTGTAGGCAGATACCATGACAGCTTCAAGTTTTTATCAGTGTCAACAACTGTAACCTCTCCTGAAGACATGTTTTATATTGTTACAGCTGTTTTATTGTTGTTTATACAGACGCTGAGCAGGAGTGAGGGCTGGAGACAGTTACAGTAATCACATTTATTTCTGTTTACAACCACAGAATGTGTTTTTATTCCTAGAGATGCTAAGAGGGGTTTACGTTTATCCATACTACTGTCATTTACACTGCTCAGTAAAACTCTGATTCCACAGCACTGAAAATGGGTTTTGTCACAGTTAATAAACCAAACCACTGAAGGAATTTAATTAAGATCATTCTTACACAGGCTTGTAATCAAAGTTACAGCGGTTTCATATTTATTTATCCATCAATCTGTGTTGAGGACAAAATATTAAGCTTGTCAATATTCGGTAATCTTTTCCATATTTCTCACTCTGCTGTGTAAATTAGTGGTAGCAGACGTTCTTCATGTTATTGTTTTTAATGCTCCTTTTATTTTTTGCCACCCTTTTCATTCCCGTTCTACACATTTGTGCGCAGACGTGACAGCTTATTCTTGTCATAGTGAAGAACTGCACCAGTGTTACAGATGTTTTTAAATGAAATGCAACGCATCAGGGTCACCTTTGTGTTTCCCCTCCCTGTGCTGCAGCTCTTCTGACCAGCTGTGATGCCTTCAGACTGGCTCCGTCCCAGCATGTCATCCCCGTCAGCCTGTTCCAGGATGCAGGTCCAGCCCAGACGCATGCTGTCCAGGCTTTAGTCAGAACCAAACGCCACTCGGTCCATGAGTTAGTGCGAGCCCAGCCTCATTTGGTTCATGACATGGGCTGGCCAGAGATTCGGGAGACATCCCGCTCCCAGAACCAGATGGATTCGGCCAACTCCTCCCAGTTAAACCCAGCATCCTCAGCCAATCAGGACGCAGTCAGGACCCGCACGGTGGAGGATGAAAACCTCAGCGTGGAAGATGAGATGGAGGTGATGTGTATTAAACAGTACAAGGTTAATGCTGCAGTGCCTTAATAATCTGAACAGTAAAAGCAACTGAAAGCAAGTTGTCAAAGTTATTGTTGTTGTTGTTGCTGTTGTTTTATTATCTTCTACATGGTTTAATCAAAACTATGAAATAACAGATATGGAGTTGTGTTGTAAGCAAAACCATGTTTCTTCTAAGCATGTTTCATATTTTGGATTCCTCTAAGTAGCCACGGTTTGCTTCGAGGGCTGCTGTGCACACAGACCTTAAGCAGCGTGAATGGTTTTCATCAAGCAGGTGTGCATCAAATATCAACTGCTGGAAATTCTTTCCTTCTTCGTGTGTGCCAGGCCGTTGGCTGCGATGTGCTGAGGTAGTGCCGGTAAACAGCAAATAGCTCTTTTTACTGCGTTTCCACTCTCGGACCCTCCCTTCTGTGAGATCTCACAACAGTCAACCATCAGTTTGTTTTATTTATTTATTTCCTCCCAGGCTCCGTAGAACGTGAAGGTGTGTTCTTTCTGACTGGTCCTGTATGAAGGAGAAGGTCTCACATGGAGTCCCCTCCTGCCGTCCTCGTCAGTCACATTCACTCAGTAAAAAGGAGGAACCCTGTCACGTGGGGCAGAGATGACTCACCTAACTTCAGTTGTTTGATCAGCTTCAGAACAAATTTATTCCTGATGCTGTTTAGTCACTGCTACTGTTTGGGAACACCAGGGCTGGACAGTGTGACTGTTCTCCTCAGTTCTTTGTAGTAAGACCATGATTTATTTTCTGGGTACTTATCTGTCTGTCTGTCTGTCTGTCTGACTTTCAGCATATGGTTCATCTGGTGGTTCCCCAGGATGCAGAAAGCTACAGGGGACATCCAGGCACCACTGACCCAGAGACAGAGCTCCGCAGTGGGCCAGGAGCTGGCGATGCCTCCCAGGAGGCCTCGGGCTTCTATGGAACGGACATGGAGGACAGAGACGGAGGAGAGGAGCGAGACAGGAGAGGAGGAGAGGAGGAGTGGGAGAGAGACACAGGGGAGGACAGAGAAAAGACAGGGGGAGATGTCAGAGGAGGGGATGAAGAGAGAGGAGGAGGAAGAGGCGCTCAACATGGGGATGAAGAGAGAGGAGGAGGAAGAGGCGCTCAGCATGTTCATGTCCCGGGTGACTTAGAGGTCAACCACACGGCACCAGATCTGGACGCTCTGATTGGTTAGTACACTGTGAAGACGTTCATAACAGTAAAATACCTTCAGCATTTTACTTCATAGCACATCTACTATGTTTTAACAGTATATTACTATATATTAGATTATAGTATATGACAGTAGGAAAACTGTTCTGCCATAAATTTACAGTATATGTCAGCATGTTACTCTTTATTTACCAAGGGCGATACAGTCTGTGTTCAACTGCTATAAATCCTCACACACTGAATAAAGTATTGCTGTAGTTTATTACAAGTCCTCAAGGACATACAAGTATTTTGTAACTACAGTACATGTCCTACAAGTCTTTTGTCCAAGCAAAACCTTATGACGACTGTAGGAGGAAAATAACAAACAGGAATTTTATTTATGATTTGCACAGACACACACTCACACACACACGTTTCTGACATGCCTCTTTGTGTCTCACAGGCTACAGTCCGTCCTTCCTCCCATCCAGCTCCAAGCTGCCCAGCAACTCCACCCAAGCTGAGGTGCATGATTCTGGGCTACAGGAGCATCGTGCATCCCCGGTGCTGGAGGTGAGGACAGAGAAGACATGGCTTGATATGGACACTGATATGTTACAGAGATGTCCTACTGTTTTATTCTCATGGCTGGACATGTAGTAGTGTTTTAGAGTATAAACATGTGGGAAACACATAAGAACTGAAACACATACACAAGCATCACAAAAATAGCACCTAACACCTGTTCTACTCAAACTAGAATTACCTGTCCAGACCCATATAATATATGTAGTGACGATTCTAAAGTGTAATAAAAGATGTATTCTCTGGCCACGACACTGACCTGTATGATTCTAGTGAATAATCTTTGTAGTTTTCCAAAACTAGCAGTTAAAAAATGGATGTCCAGTTCACATAGCCACTGGCCAGGTGTGGATTGGGACCTTATCTCGCACCATTCATACATTCTCGTCCGCTTATCCGGGGTCGGGTCGCAGTGGTAGCAGGTTCGGTGAGATAGTCCAGATGTTCCTCTCCCCAGTGATGGGTTCCAGCTCCTCTGGTGGGATTCTGAGGCGTTCCCAGGCTAGATGAGATGTACAATCTCTCCAAGTGACACTGCAAAGAACATTTTGGGAAATGTTGTTTTCTGAGATATTTTTTCTCATGTTATTGCAGTGCGTGTGTGTGTGTGTGTGTGTGTGTGTGTGTGTGTGTGTGTGTTTGCCCAGTGCTCCACAGACTCCCAACTCCCCTCACAGTTTTCCCTGAAAATAACAGGTTTTGGGAAGTAGACTAACCTTTGACCCAGCCCTAACTTGCGTTCCTTTGACTGTGGAAACTGTTACATTGTCTTTGTTGGTGTCTTATATCTGATATGAAGACTTGTGCCGATCTCCTGCAGGAGAACGTTGCCTTCTCCACCCACAGTGGAAGTAACACCTTTGACTGTAACTGGAGTGTTGTCCTGTAACGTCTACTGTACAGGTGGCTCCTTTAGAGAGAGAGGTGTGGGAGGCAGAGGGCGAGGAAGACGTTCAGTCCAGCGGCTATGGAGTCCTTCACTCTTCTGTCACTGCAGCTAGTGCTATATCTGCTGCTGCTGGGGGAGGCGCCGTGGGGACTGCCACCCCTGAGACTGACACGGGCACAGACTTTGGGCTGCTGCGAAGTTATGCAAAAGGTGCAGTGTACCAAATAGCATTTTCCATTGCTTGTTTGATCTTGTTTCTGTGTGAGATGTTTTATTTGTTTCTGTGTTGTATTACGGTTTCAGTTCCAGGTATATTCTAGGTCAGGTTTCTTTCAGCAACACAGACCATGCAAAACCTGATTTTAACATTTTGGGTTGTGGTATCTGGGCAAAAGACTAGGGGATTACAGAATGTGATCGTTTGTTTGTTGCTGGTTCCACCGTCTTTGCTAGAAACACAACACTGCAGCAATGGAATAAATGCAAGGCAGACATATTGATTCATTCCATCCAAGAGGAAACATCACATCAGAAAAATACTGAAGGACAAAAGATGATCGCTTATCTTGTATGTGTGATTTGTTGCTACAGATGAGACAGAGGATGAGGAGACGGCGAGAGAGGCGGAAGAGGAAGAAGCAGGCGTGGCACACATTGGATTGTTTACCCAGAATCCCACTGTACCAGAGGTTGGCATGGTTCCCAGCAGAGAGCCCCTGCAGCCCAGCACAGGAGAACACGAGTTAACAGGTGAGCCTCTTTAACACTGACTTTACATTACAATATACCGTAGCTGTAAACAGCGACCAACACAAAAGTCAGTCACTGACTTTTGGTGGTATGTCTGCCACTGTCATCAAAATAGTAAACTGCTGTAATAGACTCACAACAGTAATTCAGGGCTTAACAAGTGGCTACGTAATTAAATATTTTACAAACTGATTCTTTGTGTTTTTGGGCAAGGAGTTAATCTGAAAGACATAAGTGAAGAGCGGGAGGAGGAGCGATGGAGAAAAGCTGATAGAGAGGAAACAAGACCCATCATCCCACTCACCACAAACCCCTCCCCCACCATTGGCTTCACCGACCCATCCTGGGATTGGCTGGAGAAGACTACGTCTCTGCAGACGGTGAGGTCAGAGCTCAGGGGAGGTGGGGTCACAGAGGCCCTCATGCCGGACAGTGACTTTGAGGAGATGGAGGAGGCACAGCAGGTACACCTTCTTATTTTTAAATCAGACAGTATCATACTTTAAGTCTGTTTCACAGTCTTACATTCTAGTTGTCTGACTCTGAATCTTTCAGGTGGTGTGTGTAGACTGGAGTGAGCTGGCTGGGAGCGGCTACGTCGTCCTCAACATGACGCAAAACTTGAACTGTGTAAGTACAAGGATGCAATCTTCAAATTAAAGGTGCCACATTTAGCATTTTAACTTGACTGAATCGCTAAAAACATTATGCTAATGTGCCTGATTGGCTTTACTGGTCACCAGAAAACTGCAAGTCTGCACTTCAAGAATCAAGGAAGTAAGAGGGCCGGCATCCAAATCGTTTGAATAGCATCAGAACTTTATGTTTCTGATAGGTGGGCAGATGGTTTTAACAGATGTGAATGCTCTTGGCTAAGCCAGATCATTTCTCCCACACTGTCAGACCCAGAACTAAAGGAAGTGAAGGACTTTATTTGGGTTTTACAGGTGGCACAGCTGGAGGACATCTGTTATTGTGTGTGAGGGAAGAAGGATGTCAGTGTGCTGTCTGTCGCCATGACAGCAACACGATTCATCACTGCCGCTCTTACAGCAGCATGGATGGAGTCTTATAACATGTGTCCCCTTTCTCGTTTCTTCTTTTTAATGTGAAAAATGGCAGCAGCAGGCTGTTACAACCAACAGTTAGGATGCTAGTTTGGCGACCTCTAGTTGACAATAGTAATTATAACATGAGCAAAAGATGAATGTGTGTGTGTGAGACAGGAGGAGTTTCGTGTAGACCGGGGAGTACGGTTGTTGAAGATCATGGAGCGAGTGTTTGCCCGACGAATGAATAGCCCCGAGGGATCATGGGTACTCTACCTCAGCAAGCCGACACACCAGCAACACCAGCTGCTGATGAACGTGGCATCTGAGCATGGTATACAAACACACACACACACACACACACACACACACACTTTGTTCTCTTTATAATGTACAAAATGAAACAAATGCTTCTGCTGTTACAGCTTTATTCTCTGAGTTATATAAACAAACACTGTGTATATGAGAAAAGTCAGTTTGTGCACCTCTGTGTTGTAACCCCTTAAAATCAGTTTAGTTTATATTTTATTTGTTTTTTGTACCTGTTACACTGGGTTAACATTGTTTCACATGTTTTGTTTTTTTTTTTGTCTTTTAGGGGTGATAGCTACCAAGGATGTGCTGGGCATGCTGGGAGAAATCAGGAAACATTTACTTAAGGTACACATCCAGTAACTTTTTACACTACCCTCAGATGCTCAGCACAGTTAACACAGATAGATTTTCTTAAACAGTTGTCAAAACAAATGAAAAAACAAGTTGTAGAGTTTCTGCTCATATAAACACATTGTGATAGTACTTGTTAATACTGGTTCCTGGTTTAGACGTCGCTGAGCAGAAAGTGACCTAGATAATGATAATAATAATAATCTAGAGGTTAGAATATTCCATCTTTTAGCAAAAGACTAGCGCTGGTTTCCAAGCCTTACAAAAAAAGCAGCGTCCAGTTGGGACTGTGTTGCATTTCAGATGTCTATGAGATGTTAGTAGCTCCATCAAATATTAGAGACCAAAAAATGTCTGCAGTTTGCTGTAGCAGAGCTTTGTTGTTCAAAGGTTTCCTCTCCCGTTTAGCACCCTCTTTTTATCTATTGTCCCTTTGGAGGGGCCCGACCCACACTGTGAACATCCTCATAATATGTGCAATAGGAGCACGTTGTGTGCAGGTGAAACATAATGCTCCCAAATACCTTTGTTTTTTTATATTATGTCAAAAACTTTAATTAGCTTACAGCCTCATTCGGCCTCTTCAAACCTGATGAAGTTGCTTGGCAACTAAAAACATAAAAATCAGTGTTTTGATTGTTTCACTTTTTTATCTGTAGACTTGCATCTTATATAAGTGATTCTTTATACAGAGGTAAACGTACACGATGCTAGTAGATTAAATTAATGTCACAGTAATCATTATAATGAGGTACTTTGCTGGTATTGTACACATTTAAAGAAACTATACCACATCCATCATGCATACATGTGCACAGGCACACACCACCTGTCAAAGGTTTTGAAACTCTCGTCCATTGGATTGAATAGGAAAGTGTGGTAGTGTTTTTTATGTCTGCAATAAAACTGTTTTGTTTTCATATTCAGTTAAATGAGTGTGTGTGTGTGTGTGTGTTTCTTCAGGTGGGCATCCAGAACTACACTGCAGCCAGCAGCTGTCAGTCTCGGCCCAGTCAAACACGCAGCGACTACGGCAAGCTGTTTGTGGTGCTGGTGATCATCGGCTCCATCTGCATGGTCATCATCACATCTGGATTCATATACATCTGCTGGCAAAGACGACTGTCCGCAGCTAAAACTACGGTCAGTAGACACACATGCACACACGTACTTACTGCTTTGTGACTGCGATAAAATAAGTGGGTGCACATACTGTAAGTCCTTTTCAGCAGACGTTAAATACATCTCATCACTGGCGTCATTTACCATGAAACTAATGGCTTTTGTCATTTGACTTGTTTCTTATGGTTTCATTCAGACATGACAAGACATGAGCCACGTGCTTGTGCCATATTTAGCAGCCGGTCTGCAGCAGTGAGGAGTTTCACAGTGTATTTTACTGCTGAAGCCTTAAATAAGACCGTCATCTAGAAAGGGGCTACACATACATGTACGCTGATGCTCCTGTAACTCTTCAGGTCTGTTTTACCACAGTTTCCTGGTGAGGAGCTTCACTTTGTGGAGAACGGTTGCCATGACAACCCCACACTGGACGTGACCAATGACAGCGAGCCTGAGATGAAAGAGAAGAAGCCGAGTGCCAATGGGCTTGCAGGGGGAGGAGAAGGAGGCGGGGACAACAGCAGTCGCTGGCAGGTGATTGGATGGCTGATTAAGTGGCTGTTTTGGGGATGGATGAGCAAATAAACTGCCAGTAACCTTAGCTGGTTTATTAGTAAACTATTTGATTTATTAAGTTAACTTTATTCTGCCAATGAAGCTGTTCATCTTGTTTTTTTTAGGTGTTTGTCAATCAAGCAGCGACTGAGGAGGAGGAGGAGCAGGATACACATCTCTGATGGACTAAAACAAAGAGGTGGCAGGTTATGAAGGATGGGCATCTTTGATAGACAGATGATAAGAGGAGCCTAGAGGGAAGCAGGAGAAGAAGAAGGTGATGATGAGAAACCAATGGTGGGGAGAAGTGTCCAGTCAGCATGGAGCTGGGGTTTAGAATAACAGGAGGAGTCCTTGATATCATCATGGAGACACTGGGGTATACATCACATTCTGTACATTTTAAATTTTAATTCCTGGAAAGACAACAAATGTGCCAAATTCTAAGCTGTCAGCCTTTTGAAATGGTTATCAAAGTTTGATTTGTGAAAACAAAATTTCATAGAACACCATATCCCCACTCGACGTTGGACAATATCTCTGTTACTTACTGGAATAACGCCTCTGTTTAGTGTGCCTGGTGATTTCAGCCTTGAGCTCTGTGGCTGCACGAGATAGTTTGAACATAGAACTAGCAACAAGTCACCACATACAGCGCCATTTTTCATCTTTAATGTTTGAATGATAAGGACTAACATTTGGTTGCTATTCGTTTGACATCCTCTCACATAATGGCACTGACTGGTAGCAGAAACCACAGTTATGGCAAACAGTGCCTGTTCTGAAAGTAGGTTTAATACCCAAAGAAGACATTACAGTATTACTATGATTATCAGTGGTGGACTGTGACTAAGTACATTTGTTCATATACTGTGCTCAAGTACAATTTTGGGGTACTTGAATTTGCTTGAGTATTTTCATCTCTGCTCGTTTATTCTTCTACTTCACTACATTTTATAAGTACATATTATATACATTACATTTAAATAGTACATCAGTATATAGTATAATGTTTAGTTACCAGTTACAATATAAATTAATATTTTAAATACAGAATATATGATGAGTTATGACAGATGAAACTACCAAGCAGTATATAAAGTACTTAAAATGAACACTACTTCCAACATCTACAATGATAAGATGCTATTTACAAATGAATGAAATGCATCATTAACAATAATTCACAACTATAATATGCAATAACACTCTCTGTGATACTTTGAAGTAATTTCATTTCTACCAATACTTCCTAACTTAACATTCTGAATGTAAAACTTTTACTTGTAATGGAGTATTTTTACAAAGTGGTGTTGCTATTTTTACTGAATACTTCCTCCACCACCACTCAAGGTTAAGACAGGTATTACTGTCAGTAGCGGGAAATGGATAATCAATAAAATCCTAGTGATTTTAGCCTGGGACGTGGTTGTTGGTTTTACCCCAGCGTCGGACTTCGATGACAGCAGCGACTCCTCCAAATCACTGAACAGGAAGTGTAGCCTGTAGCAACTTTAAAAGGAAGGTTTTGGCACTTTATCGATTCCTCTTGGAAACAGTGGCTATCATCATTGAAATGCTGCATCATGTTAAATGTATTACATACAGTGACTGAAATATTTCTATTTTGCTTATAGGAATGGTTGTAACTGCTGAGGATGTTTTCTGTACACTCTACAACCGTGGTCGCTATACTTATGTGCTGTTAGCCTAATACGCTTTTTTCAATAGTGTTGGAATGGCTGCTGTATGCACCTGGCTAATCTTGAGGCGATGACACATGGGCAACATTTAGAGGCCAAAAGCATGGCAATATAGCTACATTTATACTGTGGCTAGTTAGTGTTGAATTCAAGTTGCCAAACCCCTAGGTCTGGCTGGACTGTTAAATGTTCAAGTCTGTATGTCCAAATCACTACAGTCATGTCCATGTCCCTGTGTGTGAATCATCATGGTCATGTCTAAGACACCACAGTCATGTTTTCTTCAAGTCCTTTTGTTCACACTGGGCTCATAGTCATGTTCAAGTTATTTCAGACCCACTAAGGACATGTACAAGCCACTAGGCTCTTCTCTGAGTCACTGGGATCCTGTTGGAGTTGGAGTTCCAGTCATAATTCTTCCATGTCACCTCAATCAAATCTGAATCACGTCACTATAATCATGTTCAAGTAGCTACAGTCATGGTCGAGTCATTGCAGTGAAAGATGTACCAGACACTGGGATCGTGTCTGAGTCACTAAGGTGGTGTTCGGATCACTGTAGTCATGTCCATGTCATTTCAGTTCAGATTAAGTCACAAGTTATCAAAAGTGAGAAATGTATTAGCCCTGACGAGTCTAAGTTAAGAAAAGTTTTTAAAAAAATTTTGACTACTGTCCAAACGACCACAGTACACACAGTAATATCACACATCAGATGGACAGAACTAATTTGAGATATTATTTCTAACTGACTGACTGGAATCGAGGTAGACAACTAATATTGCTTTTTGTGTTTAATTTTATTTAGGCAATGATTTTGTTGCTGTAGCTGTCGGTCTCCATTTCTGTTACAGATTGCCCATCTGCATTTCATCGAGATATTGTGTGTGTTTCAGCTCTTTTACTGACTTTTCTCAATGTAACAGCACTGTATGTGGCTTCACTATAGACTACGCTGATTGTTATGCACTTTGTCAGTTAAATAGGATTTATGGAGCGTACAGGACACGTGAGGACTTAAAATCGTCCTGAATATTTTAAGTTAACAGACTGCAGTGGATATTTTCTGTTTCTGAAAGCACAACATACAGACGGGACACAGTCCCCGTGTATTTCTACTGGAAGAGAGAACACATGAGCATGTAGCTTTCAGCACTGCAGTGATCACCAGTATAACAAAACACAGCTTCTGTTGCTTTTGTTGGCAAAAAGCCTGACTGACAGTTTGATAGAGTCAGATTCTGTGGCTAGAAATTGCTTGACAGATTCTGATCATTTAAATTTGTTTTCTTGGCTGTTTTTTCTTTTAAGAATCTGTTTGAAGCCTCATGTATGTTTGCATTTGTTAGCGGTGCTAGTGCAAGTCAATGGGCATTCAGCTGTAGCAACAAAGCAAATGACCCTTTGTTTGTATAAAAAACAAAGTCATTTTCCTGGTAAGATTTTTAACTGTCTGCTATGAATTATTATTATTATTATTTTTTGTCTAGTGGTTTTGTTGAGATTTAATTTATTCACCTGAGGTATTTTCTTTTTCTATGTCTATTTACTTGTGTTTTGATCACAGATTGTCTCTCATTCTTTTGGTTGTCAGTGTAATAAGTTAAATGTAAGAAATAAAGTTTGGAGAATTGTTATATCTTGTCATGTCTTTCACACAAAACCCTGAAATGGATAATTGGCTTTCCAAAATAAATGAATAACCAGATGAATTCTTGTGTGGGATTTCATTTCATGTCTTTTAATTTAATTGTGATTAAATGGTTTATTCTATTTCATTCTTTGTATCCAGTTTTATCTTAAAGAAACATTTTACTATGTTAAAGAAAACTATTTTAAACATGTTGCCATCTGCTGCTATGGAAAAGAGAACTTACACAGGAAGTTTGGCAGGAATGTTGTTACACCAGCCTAATCCCTTTTCAAACATCTTTTTGTTTTTTATTTTAAAACAATTTTTCAAGACTGCAGTGAGGCATTCTGTTAAAAATACAAGATAAGAATTGAATAACAATACAGATAAAAACAACTCAGATAATAGGCTGGTAATAAAACTGTGCTTCCATTAATAAAAGGCTTTTCGCTAAAGGAGACTTTTGAGAAGTCGGAGATTATAAAGAATTTACTGATCCTGAAAGTGTCAACAAAGGTGTCGATCTTTAGACAGACATGTGCAGAGCTGTGAGGCCCGAACAGAAAACGCCTGGTCTCCTTTAGACTGACATCATTCTCACAATATTGCTTCCAACTTTGATCCCGGATTTATTTATTTGTGTACTTAATTTATTTGTTTGTTTGTTTGTTGTAAGTAACATGTTCTAATGGTCATTTTACAGGCTTCATCACCATGGACATGGGGAGGGCAGGAGCGAATTTAATTGTAGCCAGGCAGACGTCAGTCCTCCAAAGTCTTTGTACGAGGGGTCCTTTAGGCTAACGCTAACTCTTGTTAGGCAGCTACGTGCGCAGTCAGTTGTTGTGAGAAAGTGTCGGGAGTTTGTCTTTGATAAGTATGATCCCGAAAGATGTCAGGTTTGTGGATTTTTTTCCTCCCCCCGAATTCTTTAAATACGAACCCTGTCTCATACAAATAACACAAATTACTCTAACAAACGGCTGTGGTACAACACAGTTGCAAAATGTTTTGTGTTTCAAGCTAGCAACTTAAACTAGCTAGTTAGCTAATTGTGTGGTTTTTTTTTCGTCTGCGGGCAACGTGTTCTTGCCAAACTCTGTTCCAAACTGGCGAATTTCTGATCTTCCTTACAACATACAAAACATAACGTTGGTGTATAGTTAGCCCCCGAAACATGATTTCTGTTACAATCAGTTGGACTAAATTTAGTTTGATAACGAACTAATGTTAACTGTAGTTAAAAGGACTCGCTAAGTTGCTAGCTAACCTTACCGCCCACAGATTACTTGTTCTTAGGGCAGTATTAAATGTTCAAATTAATTCATAATTTCTTGTGCCTGCAGTACACCGAAATAATGAATGACTAATTGGACTTGAATATTAGTTTGTCTTGTGACGAATTTTCTTTAAGACTGGCAACATGAAATTGTTTAGCACAAAGACTGTTTAACAGTTGTAAATATTTATATACAGCTGATATAGCTATAACTTGACGTAGTGTTAACTACCTACCTAATTTTACGCTAGGTCAGGACAACCAGGTAGCGCAAGTTGCCTCATTGAATGTTTTTCGTTTTAATCCAACACTGTGGCAAGCTAATGCTAATTAGTGTTAGCACCACGCTTGTGCTGTGGAGCTGGGTAGTCAAAGTTAGCCGCTGCTGCTGTCGGTTCCTCTGCTTTGTCCTTCAGCCATCCGTCGTCCGTTTTTTTGTTACGCCGACGCTACTCTTGCAGCAGATTTCGACACCGGATTATGTTGGTTACTTAGTACCATTTGATTTTGTCTAAGTCAGCTTAGATGCTTTTCCAATCGTCATACATCCGTGCAACGGCATGTGGGTTCCTTAGTGCGTAGCAAGTTACTGTTAGCTGAGTGGCTAACCTGCTAACATCAGGCCCTATAAGGATGTTACTTATGAAAATAGTTGGTTAAATGTCTCCCACAAGACAGTCTGCCTGCTGGCTTCCATTGTGGTGACGCTAATTTGTGTACGTGGCACAGTGGTTTACTGTCATTAACGTTATATTCATAAATATTTAGCTCACTCATGCAGCAAACACTGCTCGAGGCCTCTCTTCTAAAATATAAACAGTTTTTCTTCGCCATTTTAAGGTAATAGTTTTTTTTAGAGATTGATGTGGATCATTAACTTTGTTCAGGGACATTTTATATGACAACGTGACAGTCGATGTTTCATCAGAGACATTTAACTTAATTAGATGTAGATAAAACTTGACCAAATGCAGAAAACATGTAGGCCTTTTCTCAACTATTTACAAGGTAGTCAAATAGAGCTTCAGTACTTGGTTAAAAAATATATATATATTTGGCCACTTAATATACACTGCGTGGGCTCTGTGTATTTTGTGGCATAATCAGTAGCATGATCACAAAACACATACACAAAATTAGTAAAGGTTCTGCTGCTTTTTATTCCAATAATGAGCAATAATGCTGTTGCTAATCATGGACTTAATTACCTCCCAGGGACATGATGTAATACATCATAATAATGAACTCAATATTTTTTTAAATCATATTTAGATTTCAGCTACATTGCTTTTCAGTAAATCACCTTTCAGTTTTTAATGTCTGCCTGGGTCCTGCTGTACAGGAATTATGTCAGCAGCAGTACAGATATAATTAGAAGATGATCAAACCTGTAAATATCTACAGCATGTTCAGTGCTTCGCTATGGGCTGCAGGGTCACTGGCTGGACACTGGAATAATGCAGCTACAGCACACAGAAAAAACAATGTAAAGTAGATTATCTTCACACAGCCTGCAAAGTATTAACATCCTATTCAGGTGTGAAAAAGATGTGCATCCATGATAAATTAGTGTTCTCAAGTTATTTTAGTATAGATCTCTATCCACCCTGAACTTCCCAAGAAGCAGAGAAACTCTCAAAAATATTTTTTTTTTGTTTCAGCTTACTGTTATTTTGCATTTAAACAGCTAGATAGCTGTCCAGAGGGGGAAAAAATGTAAAGCTCCCATTATAACTAATGAGCTAGCCACTGTTAGTAAACCTTGCAGACAACAGATACTGTGACTAGATGTGAAACATTCAGTAGTTTCATTAATTTTTTGATTTGCACAAATTATCTACTCTTAACATCTCACCTAGTACAGAGCACAGCATTCAGACTGTTTTGGAAGATGCTAATTAGCCAGTTAACATTGCTGTATCTCTCAAAACCGCCATGGACCTGCCATGTATTCCTCCATGGTGATTAAAGGGAGGCCAAACAAACTGTTATTTCCTGCTGTCACAGAAGAATCATCCTTTGAGTGGTGTCTCCAGTGAAAGTGTCCTCGCAGCGGAGGCCTGCAGGCAGTCGTTAGCATGTGTAGCTCTGATGTAACTGTATTACAGTGTGCGATATTAGCAGTCACTCTGTAGCTGCAGTACATTAACGTACATGCCTGAAATCTCTGAAGCTGACATTATCCTAACTGACACATCAGGTGTCTTCTGTCCTTTAATGTAGTGGTTTCTGCTAAAGCAAATGTGTTGCAGACTATTTTTTATGTGATGCATGTGTTTATGTGTGTGTCAGGCACATCTGCTGGCATGTATGGCTATAAAAAGAGTGGCTCTAAGTGTAGTGTTGATGCAAATTTAGCACAAGAAGCAGATGACTCATGGTTACAAAAGATGGTGTTTGATTTTCAGCAGTGGAAGGAAACTGTTGTAAGTTGTTCAGGAAACATCTTAATATTCAGGTTTATTGGCTTTTAAGTTTCTGTAAATGTAGAGCAGGACGAAGAAGGTGCTTGTGATGTTTAAAGCTTATATCTGATTGTCAAGTCAGACTTGTTTCCAGTGCAT